CTCCCCCCCCCCCCCCCCCCCCCCCCCCCCCCCCCCCCCCCCCCCCCCCCCCCCCCCCCCCCCCCCCCCCCCCCCCCCCCCCCCCAGAAAAGAAAGAGGAACAGTGTGGGAGGGCTTACGGCATATATTCATACAACTTTCGTGGCTGGGCCCCTCCTTGGGGAAAAGCTCCATACAAGCGTTATGGCATGTCTTTTCTATTAGTTGTTGAAGTTGGTTTATAACCTCGGACGGGTTCAACCTAGAGATTGGCCCGAGAGCAAAATCCGCATTGGAATTATTCCCGTCAGGGAAAGGAGTAGGCAACGCCAACGTCCTACTGGCAGCGATAAGCCCAAATATTATGCTGTAAGGAACACGCATTGTTATTAATATTTATATCCTGAAGTGAATTGTTGTTAATTATATTAGATAGAATCAAACGAGATAAGCTACACGATCGTGTTCGAATTTTGATGGTACCTATATACGTGACCACAGCGACAAAGACAAAAATTATCATGCAAAGGTACCTAATAATAGAAGGCAAAATAGGATCGATCTGAGAGTAGCCACGTCTTCTCTTCTACTGATACTCTTTATAAGGTAGCGGAGTACAATCCACTTTATCAAGTCCGAGTTACAAAGGGTAGGCGTTTAGGACTACCTAGGCACAGTAGCGCAGGACTCAAGATATCAACTGAACAAAGTTAAAACTTTGAGGTTATTGTTGGTATTTTTAGAATTTCCAGTCTTTAAAAGTGTTTGGGCGGGTTGTATGGTTTAGTATATAGTATAGCGTACCTACCTAAGGTAGGTATTTTACCATACGTCATACGATCCTAGCGTGGTATGCGCCTTATCACCCCGCCATTTATAGGTGCCGTACCTAGATATAGGTAGGTCTTAGCAATACCCGCTGAGTGGGGCTTACGAACGCCCGATTTTTAGTGCTGAATCCAGCTTTAGGTATTATACATTATACTTTAGCATTTTACGTATGTATTGTACCTCTCCCCCCCCAGCTTGTCCTTCACCTTCGTCCTTCATCCTCGTCCTCAAAAAACACATGCATTCTTCCCTTGGGATGGCTTCACTTTCTCTAAGGCGAAATCATGGGACAGACCCAGTCAGGTGAGGCCAAGCCTCCCTCTAAAGAGCAAATTACAAGACAGCTGGTAAATGAATTCCTCACTACATCTCGCACACCGCATTTCGGAAGCTTCCCGTTTAAAAGCTGTTCATCTTATCAACTTATCAATGATCTAACATCTAATCAACAAAACAGGCCGACAAGTTCGCTCGTAAATGTTTTGAACCACTAGAGCTCTATTTATTCAAGGATAACTTCAGATCGCTTGCAGATAACGAGCAAAATGTGCGTTACCTTAAACAGGATACCATTGCCCGCTTCCTGGAGCTACCAGACATCCTCGCCGTCTCGCCTGTCTTGTTCCATATGCTGGGATACATCGGCGCATTTCCCTTCCTTCGAGATGCGCCAGTCATACTTGGCTTGGAGCAGATGATTATGGTCGTCGTTATAATGACAGAACGCTACAAAAAAGTCCTAACTAAAGGTGCTAGCAGCAGACGAAAGTTGCTATTCAAGAGTTTGGCCGTGTATGATCGTAAGCTATCCGAGATGGAGACGCAGCCATCTTCCAATGGGACCGCCCTCAGCTTTGCCATTGACGAAGCTGGTGATGATCTGGATGATGACACGGCCGAGGACGACGAGCTTGTTCTAGCTGCGTTAGACTCTCTTGATATTAATGACGCTTTCAAGACGGTCGATTCTCATGCCGCCACCACTCACGGGGCAATGATTCCAGCAGACAATTTTAGAAAATTGATCATGTTACTACTCCTAGTATCTCCCTTAGACGCTCAGGAAAACATCTCCAGTTACGCCGAGAGGGTTACAGGATCGGATCTCCAAGACTTAAGAGCAACGGCTGAGAATATCTTATCGGCTTTTATCGACGTTGAAAAATCCCCTGGTATCACCTACGCCCAATTTGACAGAATTCTGCCGTCAAATTTTCCCTTTCTTTTTAAAGGCTTCAATCCTTTATTCGAACACTTCCTATTTTCAAAGAACCTCGACCTCTCAAAACGTAAGGATGGTGTGCCCAAAGCCTTCTCCCCTGTGATACCACAACCTCCCCTACTACAGGACAAGGGTAAGATTTTAAATTTCAGTATCTTGTCCCAGCTTTCTTTTTTCATTGATGGGAACGAGTTATTTCGGCGGCTGCGCTTGCTCTACTCCGGTTCAAAAGCAGGATACTCGATGGGAAGCTTTGAATCCAAGGTATTTAACTGGCATGCACCTACCATCCTCCTGATATCCGGAACTAGGCTTTCGGGCCCATGCAGTAGAAATAGATCTGAAGAGGCCTTTCACGAGACCTTACCTCCCAAGAGATTCCCGAATGGAGGTCCCTCAGGCCGCGATCGCTTGATTTTCGGAGCGCTCGTCAGGCAACCGTGGCGATATACACACAGGGAGTGTTTCGGAGGCGAAGGCACGGTCCTATTCCAACTTTCTCCAACTCATGACGTCTTCCCAATGTCTAGCTTGAACCACGACTATGTGGCATTGCTCAAGACACCGGCGGCCCATCCAGGGATCAGTTTCGGCTGTCCACACCCAAAGACAAGCCAGTCTTCACGCCACGGCTCGTTGCGAAACTTGGGACCTGTTTCTCTCGTCATTGATTCGAGCTTCGAATTTGGTGTCTTCACACACGACTACTCGTCCCGCGGCGGTGCATTTGCTACTAGCTCATCCCGAAAGTATAACTTCCAGGAACGTTTCGAAATCGATGACATAGAAGTCTGGGGCTGTGGTGGTGACGAAGAGGCGAAGATACAAAGAGAGCGCTGGAAATGGGAAGCACGTGAGGCTGAAGCCAGGAGAAAGGTCAACTTAGGCACGGGGGACATCGCTACTGACCGTGCTCTATTAGAAATGGCCGGGCTAATCGGCTCAAATAGAAGCGGAGGGTCGATGGCTTGATTTACGGATAGGTTATATTTGGCGTTAGGGGGGCCTAGGTGTTGGAATTACCACAGCATTTATTAATATAATCTCGATTCTATTTTCTGTTTAATGGCGACGAACAAGTTCGGATATCATGCTTTATGTGTAACCGCTTTTCAATGTTGCCATTTATATACGGCTAGACACGATGCCGTCTGGTATATACAATGGTGCAATATATAGGCTTCTTCCGAATGGCCTATCAATGAGACTTTTTTCCAACCCTCTCCCCCTTTACATGTACTCTTCCCTGCCCTTTAAGTATTTAAGTTTTGATGCGCATTATTCGTTTTCGGATTTAAACCCGGCAGTGGTCGCTTGCAAATGTTACGATGCATGTCACTTCCGGCGGTTTCCACTTAAGCTTTCTTTTCCGAGCCGCTCTCCTGGACCTTATTCTCTTCTGACGCCTTCGGGCTGTCGCTCTTCTTTGTTCCAAACCAACCGCCAGCATTTGACAGAGCACCTAGGATATTAGATCCCTCCCCTTTTTTCTCTTGAGCGGAACCCTGGGCATCCGGCTCCTTCGGTTCCGCCGTCTCGGCTTTCGCGGCTTTCGCGGCCTTCTCCTGCTCTTCGGCGCGCCGTTGCTGGACGCGTTCCTGGCGGCGCTTCATGGCAGCTTTCAGTTGCTTGTCCTCCTCATCACGGACCTCGAGCTCGTGAAGCCACTTCTGGTGGCGCTCCTCGGCGCGCTGCTGGGCCTCGAGTTTGATCAACTCCTTGCGCTTCTCGCGGTCGGCGCCGTAATACGCGCCGCCGGCGACCATGGCCATCACGGTAAAAGCTTGCGCGCCGACACGGGCCCGGAACATCCGCTGTACTTGCGCGTGGTCGCCGCGGCGCATGGCGCGCCAAGCGTTGACGACAGCGAGAACAGTTAGGAGGGTTCCTGTTAGAGGGGGGAAGGAGGGCGAGGGGAAGGGATTAGTTTATGACATAATTGCTGGAGTTACGTTACGGATAACTACGTACCCAGTGGTATTAGAGGTTCCTCTCTCAGTTTGCGGCTAATCTTTTGGAATCCGGTCTCTCTGTACTGCCTAATTTATGCTCTGATAAGCTCAATGCCCACCAAATGCTGGGGATATGTATACGTATGCAATTGCGCATAGTCGTGGCGGGGAAGAGGAGAGGAGGGGAGAAGAAAAGAGAGGGGAGAGAGGTACCTGTCATCGTCAAAAGACGAGGGCATAGGTCTATCCGCCATGTTGAAATCGGTGCTTGTAACAATTGGCCCTTTAGATCTTTGAGCTCTTACGAGCTAGTTACAAAAGGCCCGTACCAGTGTGTGGCTTAAATAGAACACCGGCGTGAGTTGATTTAGATTGCGCAGGTTTGAGGTTTGAAGTTTAAGGTGTTGTGCATCGAACGCGAACGGTTTAAGCATTAAAGATGGTGTATGGTAAAGACATACATGGTACCTATTGTCCCGCCATAAAATGTCCCGCCGGATAAGGCGATAAGACGATAAGATAGACTAGAGGTAGGTACATAGTAACCAGTCAGCCAGTGCCTGAGCCAAGCTGACCCAGGTACAGCAAGCAGCAAGGTAAAGGTGGGCTGGACCCCACTAAAACTCCTGCACGGTTAGTACCTAATTCTACTATGTATGTAAGCTCCAATCGATACAAGGGAGATAGAACAGAATGCCCCACTATCGAAATCTAAAAATCGCTTCGGTATTTTATTATAATTATCATGTCATTCTCTCTTCTCCCGTCGAAAGCGATACAAGTTGTCGACATCTAGTATTTCAGTATGCCCGGAACCACAGTTGACCCAGTTGATATCGAAGTGGCCGAGAGGGCCAGAAACGAAACAAACAACCTTAGACCACGCACTCCCTCGCCTTCAGGCCTGTCTCTTACGGAGTATAGTGCAAACCCTTCGCCGCCATCGGAGCGCAGACAGAAGGTCGTCCCCCAGGAATTTCTCTTGCCCAATGGGCATCCTGACGTTCGTCTTCGCTACCTTTTTATTGTCGACTCATCTGGGGCTTACGGATGACTGATAATTACCTTTCATTTCTTTAGTATCTCCGCTTAATCCTTACCTCGAGGGTATACGAAGCATGTAAAGAGACCTCTCTCACCCATGCCACAAACCTATCCAACAGACTCGAATGCAATGTCTTACTCAAGAGGGAGGACGAACAGCCTGTCTTCAGCTTCAAGCTGCGGGGCGCTTACAACAAGATGGCCCATCTCGATCGAAGCCAGAGCTGGAAAGGTGTGGTCGCTTGCAGTGCCGGGAACCATGCCCAGGGAGTAGCCTACTCTGCTAGACTGCTCAAGATACCAGCAACTATTGTTATGCCCTCGGGCACTCCAAGCATCAAGCACAGAAACGTTTCAAGATTGGGTGGTGCCGTGGTGCTTCACGGTGCTGACTTCGATGCCGCTAAAGAAGAATGCGCAAGGCTAGAAAAGCAGCATGGTCTGATTAACATCCCACCCTTCGACGATCCTTATGTTATCGCCGGGCAGGGAACCATAGGGATGGAGCTACTACGCCAGACCAACATCCAAAAACTCCAAGCAATATTCTGTTGCGTAGGTGGAGGCGGCCTTATTGCGGGCATTGGCGTCTATGTTAAGCGTATTGCACCACACGTCAAGATAATTGGAGTTGAGGCCGAGGATGCGAATGCCATGGTCCAATCCTTGCGGGAAGGCAAGCGAGTGGTCCTGAAGGAAGTAGGCTTGTTTGCCGATGGTGCGGCGGTTCGGACAGTGGGCGAAGAGACCTTCAGGATATGTCAAGAGGTCATCGATGAGATTGTCCAAGTAAATACTGACGAAACTTGCGCTGCTATCAAGGACGTGTTCGAAGAATCCCGGTCTATTGTCGAGCCGGCAGGTGCGCTAGCTCTCGCTGGACTGAAAAAGTGGGTGTTAGCCAATCCGTCCAGCAACCCGAACCGATCCGTCATAGCCATCACGAGCGGTGCGAACATGAACTTTGACAGGTTGCGCTTCGTAGCCGAGCGCGCTACTCTTGGCGAGGGTAAAGAGGCCCTGCTTCATGTTAGCATCCCAGAGAGGCCAGGCGCCTTTGCTGAACTGATCGACCACGTCATGCCACACGCTGTAACGGAGTTTTCCTACCGCTACGCGACTAACGAGATAGCCAATATTCTCATTGGTATATCATTGACAGGCGCTGCAGCGGGACGAGATCAGGAGCTCCAAGACCTCATTGACCGTATAAACCGTGCGGGCATGACAGCCACAGACCTATCAGGCGACGAGCTTGCTAAATCTCATATCCGTTACCTTGTGGGGGGCAGATCGGACGTTGCAGATGAGAGGTTGTACATGTTTAATTTCCCCGAGCGCCCCGGCGCTCTCGAGAAGTTCTTGAGAACTTTACAATTGAGGTACAACATCAGCCTGTTCCAGTACAGAAATGGCGGTAGCGATATAGGTAAAATTCTGACGGGGATCCAATGCCCCGAAACAGAAGTGGCAGATTTGGAGAAGTCGTTTAGAAAGATCGGGTATCCATGGGAGGATTGCACGCAAAGCTCTGTTTTCAAGACGTTCTTGAGAACCGAGCAGTGATTTAATTGAGCTCAAGCCACTGGCAAACTGAGAAGATACGGGATCGGTAATAAGAGGGATATGATTACGATTCGTTTAGATGAAGGAAGTTAAGAGACCGTTCGCAAGTCGCAAGTCGCAAGTTATGATACCTAAAGAAGAATAGATTTGAATTTGCCCACAACAGAAAGGAAGGTGTTTTGATTTCGATGCAATACAGACCGAGGATTCCAATAAGTATACATAAATAGGTTTACATGAATAGGTTTACATATATTGGTTACGTACATAAATGGTATTCCCTTAAAGCCAGCCAATAAAATGCGACATTGAGAAGTACCTAACGCCCCACATGATTTGACAGTCGATTTTCCAACCTTTGCACCAATTATCGGAAGTACGCACGCCCATACATTTACATACATTTACATACATTGTACATACATCTGAATCGACAAATCCCCAATTGCAGCGATCCCTGGAGAGAGAAATTACAGTACTCTATACCATACCTCTTCAAAATGGCTGCATCTTCTCTAATATCCTCTCTTCGGGCCCTGTCCCTTCGCGCAACACGGATACCGGCTACCGGACAAATTCTGCGAAAACAACAGCCCACCAGAAGCATTTCCCAAGCAGTACTAAGTCCAAGCACTGCGGCAAGGCCCACGACGTCGATAATAACTGCAGGAAAGACTATACAAGCCATCACACAGCAGACGAGGGGCATGAAAGTTCACAGTTCGGTCAAGAAGCGGTGCGAGCATTGCAAGGCAAGTCATGAAGTGGAAGAAACACCAGAATGGGCGACACATTTCTTATATATATATGTATATATAGGTTACCATCATACATTCTTATAGGCGCAAGAGTTCCGGTAAACATTTGCTAACATATAAGTCGCTATAGGTCGTGAGAAGGAAGTCTAGCAAGCGACACCGTGGTTACCTCTACATCATCTGCAGCGCAAATCCAAGACATAAGCAACGACAAGGTTAATGAAACCGGCGTACGATCCTACAGACGGATCGAAAAAGGCAAAAAAATGGCGAGAGAGCAACATTTCAGGGGTTCTCTGAGTCTAGCGTCCTTTCTCGACGGCGCACAATATGTACGATACATACACTCGGTAGATCAGGAGTGTCCTATCATGGGGTAAGGGTCGAATCGGAACTCGGGTTGGCCAATCCCAATCATGGCTTTCTACACGCGTATATCATGAGCTACCATAAACAAAGCCTATGTATTATGACTCTATATGCCCCCAATATACCTCTCCATGCCCTCCCATTCCGTCTTGCCGGTTGATAAGAGATAGCGTATATGATTCACATCCGTGACGTTGCGGTGCCGCTCGAATTCCCCGCGCGCAAAGTTGCGTGTTTCGGCGCGGGTTGTCGGGTCACTAATTTGCCTTGTACTGCGAATTATCCTACGGTAGAGCGATAGGGCGCGTGAACGCAGGAGGAACTAGATAGGTGTTTTATATTAGCTTTCGGATCTGAGCGGAAGCAAGTAGTTGTATACCGGCTAAGAGGTGAGGGAGAATGAAAATATACACACATGATCTAGGCTCAGGGCTGCACCCAGCCGGTTCTTCAGTGAGCTGGTCGCATAGTTTCGGGAGGTAATGACAGAGTGTAGACTCGTTCTACTTTGAATTAGGCGCATGAGAGAAAGTTACGATTGAGACTGGGAATCGAGAGTTGATACGAAATTTCATCAAATGCATTCTTCAACTTCAGAGATTATTATGCAATTAAGCTGACAGCATCTGAGGACCGAGGCCTCGATAAGAAAGATAAGATATGTCGTGTGTATTACTAACTTACCTGGACCAACGGGTAACCCAGGTACCTAAGAACTTTACTTATGCCTTAGGTTAGGTACCTATGTACCTCTACGCTATCACTCGAAAGAATACCGTTTCTAACCATGTAAAAAAGTAATAGTAGTTGTTGTTATTGTTATTGTTGTTTTTTTAAGAAAAGGAAAGAAAAGAAAAGAAATTACTACTACCGCCTCACTACACGCATGATGATAACGCAGCTTGCACACCTTTGCAGCTTTGACCGATTATACGAGCATTTAAGACGAGCATGAAGGGCCTTAAGCAGAGTGTTAAGCGCAGACGTGCTGCTACGAACCCGATTGAGAGAGCTAACAGGAAGGATGACGAGAGTTTCGTTAAGGAACATCTGTGTCCCACGTAAGGTTCTCTCTGCCGGGCTTCGATCCACTTGAAAATATGCATTAACATATAAGTGCGCAAACGCCAGCTCGTCTGCATGGACCGAGTGGGTAAACCCCAAAACGCAAGACAAGTTCTCGCTCAGCCTTACGAGTTCGGGTAATTTGGATGATGAGGATTTCGACGCATGCTTCAAACTAGTAGAAGAGACTAGCCGGCCTGATTATGAATCCTCATCAGTCGGATGGAAGCCGAGTAAAAAGATTGCCGAAATGAAGTCTCCCGAGTTGAGGTACATCTTGGTGAAGGATGTTGTAGGAAGCATCCGTGGCTTCACTTCTTTAATGCCGACGTATGAAGAAGGGGAGCCAGTAGTATACTGCTACGAGATTCATCTTAAACCGGAACTACAAGGGTATAGTCATGTCCAAAGAAAAAGATGATGAAAATGAAAATGAAAATGAAAACTTACATCCAGCAGGACTGGTCTAGGCAGTACTCTTATGGAATTCCTCGAGAGCGTTGCAGTAAACACGCCTCCTATCGAGAAAGTGATGCTTACTTGCTTTTTGAGTAATCTAAAAGCCTCTGCCTTCTATAAGAAGTTGGGCTTCGAGAAAGACGAAATATCACCAGAACCTCGGAAGTTAAGGTTTGGCAAAGAATTTATTCCAGACTACGTTATCATGAGTAAAGTGGTAAAGAAACAAGAGCCCAGCAAGATATAGGTAAAAGAGAAATCTTACTAGCCTAGAGCTATACCGTTAAGAATCACCCAGGCTAACCTAATACTTAAGTTCCCAGTCACCTTATGATACCAGAGATCATTGGAGAGTATTAAATATACTCGCAGGCTCTTGAACGCTTAAAGAATTCACTCATACCTACAACTAATGATAGACAGAAAATGGAGCAACTACCTCTAACCTAAGGTTAATTAAAATAGTTTCGGATGAACTATTGCATGTGATATCTAATATGATATCATGCTCGTATAAGAATACGACATCCGACATCTAACATATCCCTGATAATAATCAAAGCTGAGAGGTGTATGGCAGCCGTATGGGAAGAAGTATCAAATCTACTGCTTTCTAAATCTGTTATTATTGGTGCCGGACTTGCAACATAATGCTCAACCCCGCTTCCTTCACGTTTACATCATAATGAGCCGCATTACGGCGAGGGAATCGAATGGGCCAATAGCAAGGCTTAATTCGCCGGAGCATTTGTTCGCGCCAGACACTAACGAGCAAGTAAAAGGGACAATCTAACTGCATATCAAGAAATTACGAATGCTACCACCTCGGCATACACATCCAGTAAAAGACGGCAAGATGGCACGGTAGGATGACTCCGTCTTGAAGAAAGGGGAACAAGGTTACTATGTACTAGTCCAGGCACACCTTAGCATACCTGTCACATATCAGGTTACAATTTTTACAGCCATAGCGTCATCGTTTGTCCTCTGCCCATTGTATTATATGCTGAGAGGATCGAGATGTCATCCGCAGTACTTCAACTCGACCTACCCATCCTTTTCTCGCGGTTCATGTCTTACTCGTCTTCTTTTTTAGCTTTCGCACACGCCAAACTCTGACTTAGCCCTATACCATCAACGCTAACGGCGAGGTCTATCCCAGCACAAGCCGTTGAGCTGTAGGAACTAAGGTTACCTAGGTAACTTTAGAAGTAGAACTAATACTCATCATGGCCCCCTTTCTGCCAGCGCCAGCCAAAGATAGCTCCTCTGTCGGCCGCGTCCTAGCCCGAGAGCTCGAACACATAAATCCAACAAGGACCATCCCCAAAGCTATCACTAAGGTCCTCACCGCTCGTCAAAGCACTATGACGGTCGTTGCGCAGACCGACGGCGACTCCTCGCAGACCCTCTCGGGCGGAGCTATCGCTGGGGTTGTCATCGGCTCTATCGCCGGATTCCTCCTCCTGCTTTGGGTCATCCGCTCATGCGTCAACTACCGCAACCCAGGGGCATGGGGCACGACATTCGAGCCGGATCATGAGAAGCCGCCGTCTTCGCACTACCATAGCTCTACGCGGTATCCCCTGGAAACGCATGGCCACAGGTCGCGCTCTCGCCATTCTCATCACCATCATAGTCCGCGCCGTACATCAGTCGTGAGCGTGACGAGGCCCGTTCACATTGAGCAGTCGAGGGGCAGAAGCCCGAGGGCCCCACCCGCGGCGTATTATTCTGATGGAAGAGATTATCGAAGGTCGAGCGACGGCCGGAGACATTCACGAAGTTATTATTGAGCAACCAAATAAGGAACGACGTTATGAATGTAAAAAGGGCTTTGGGGGGAATATGGTTGATAAAAGACGAGTTATAGTAACCAACATCTCCCTTGATGAGAAGGCTGTCGATGGCTAGGATATCCATTGGCAACATGATGATGGACATTATTTACCATCCCGCGAATGGACTTACGAATATTACGATGTGTATGTTATATTTATGAATCATTAAATAATAAAAGTACAATTCGTGAGATCGGTAGTGCAAGTCAATACCCTAGTGTGACAACCTAGGTAGCCATCTAGCATAACAAACCAGAAGTATTATTGATAGTTCATAGTTCGTAAGGGTCAACATGCAAAATAATATACCAGACAATAATTCAAGAAGGGCCAACTACTTCATCCGAATTTGTCACCCTCTCTTTCAGGGCCTGATACTCACCTTCATCCCACGACCCCAGAATCTCGTATTCCGGCGTCCACGCCTCCGTACCCCCACGCGGCCTTCTCGCAAACGGTATATATGCGGATGCCTTGAGCACAAATTCATCCAACCCGCGAAACTGTCCCAGCATATCATCCCCTACCAGCCAGCTCCAAAACCGCTTCGCATCCTTCGGTTGGCCCCACGTGACCGCAACCTCGACGTCCAGCTGCTGCAAGTGCGGCAGCGAGCTGCGTAGTAGTTTTATCGACTCCCTGACGTTCCTCTTGTGCAGAGAGGAGTTCCAGGTTGAGGCGGGGATGAGAAGCGCGACATGCGCGCAGCGCACCCGGGCCATGCCCTCGGGGCTTGCGTTTCGGCAGAAGTACCGGGCCATCTCGACGCCGAACAAGGAGATGGTGTGGTTTGCGTACAGGAGGTCTAACCCATCGTTGTACACGGCCCGGCTCACGCGTAGCAGGTCGGTGAAGAAGACCTGATCGTGGTATTGGGACCGCGACGTCAACGAGTAGAATGTTTCCCCGCAGATCAGTTGCAATCGGGCCCCGTATCCGACGCACCCGCACCTAGGCGGCACGACTATCTGCCGCGCGGGAGAGCCGCCTAGGCCAATGGTCCGGCGCAGCGTCTCGCTTGGCGGGTCGTGTTCGCCTCGGATCCCTTGCATCGGACTCCACGTCTCCGGCCGCGGGCCACGAACTGAGTATCTAGGACGGACTTGTATAATTGCCGCGTCTCCTAACGCTAGATGGTAGATCATGAGGCGGATCTCCGGGGGTAAGTGCAAAAAGGAAGTCTTCGTGCCGGTACCGGTGCCGGTAATGGGGGTTGTCCTCTTGGACTTAGATGGAACCACAGCTAACGGCTTCGATTTAGGACGCTTGCGTGTCCTGATTCGATGATTCTGCCGAGCACGATCTACGGCGCTAAAAGTCTTTCCGACGGCGCGCAGGGAGTATTTCACACAATAGTAGACTACTGCGCAGGGCAGGACGGATGCTATGAAGAGTACGTCACGCTTTGTTGTCGTGGTTCGTCGCATCGTGAAAAATGCGACCAAGTCGAAGCTCCCTTTTATAGTACTTGACTGGAATAAGGACGGGAAAGAATAGAAATAACCAGCTACTAATTCCTAGTCTAATATGTGTAAATAATATACCTGGATAAATATGTTGGAAGATGTCAAGTTGAGGTCCAGAAGTTTAAAGTGGTAGGTCTGGTCTGCATATGTGTTAGACGCCAAAGTATGACAGGGGTTATGATCCCTTTCGCTGTGTAGAAACTCGCCAAGAGACATTTAGGACTTGCTCTATGGCCTGCAGCTGCGTAACGAATCCCTTGTTACGAGGACAGCATAACAGGTATGTCGAAATTAAACTCGTTTTCTATGTAACTACCTAAGTGATGGTATAACTCAAATTTACAAAATATATCAAAAGCATAGCTACCTACTACCTGTTACCTAGGTAGTTACCTACCTACCTAGGTTATGAGTGGTCGAGAAGTACTTAATCCAGAGTATTTGCCATGCTATAAAGCAACTTGATTTATTTCGCTTTAGCACGTTGATTCTTCACCCAGAGGAAACGGGAAAATCCATCAGCGCTCCCAGTTCCTTTGCCCCCAACTACTAGATCGGCCGACATCATGTTCTTGTAGGCGTCAGGGCGAAATTCAGCCAGAAATAGATACCCACTACGAATATTGTTGGTAGGTTTCGCGTGACCCTCACCGTCGGTTCTGCCGTCTACAGTTCCGGCATATCTCTTGTCTCCTAGGGTCATGACATCGACGAACATGTTGGCGAACGGCTTCATCTGGTTTGCTGTGATACCACAGTGGCCGTCTATATAGGTACGGTAAAACCCAGCAACGTCAAGTGCGCCGTGATTCGAATCTTCGCCACTAGTTCTCGGTACGGTATAGCCCCAGTCGTACACGCTACTTCCTTTCTTGCCCTTTTTGGTCTGCACGCCACCTCCGTGAAAGAACCAGTCTATGCTGGCGGTGAGGATCGAATTATACTCTGCGAGTAACTTGGGGTTGTCATTGAGAATCCTGTGCGCGTTGCATAGGTTCATGAACGCATAATTGAACATCATCTGTTGATTCCAGGGGACTGGCTTCCCGCCCATATAAGGCGCATCCTTAGCAAAGTACATCTTGTTTCCGTTTGAAAGATCTAGTAACCGCTTCAAAATATGAGTGGTCATGGAGAAATCCGCTTGCTTGAGATAGGTCTTCGCTCGGTCCAAATAGGTAGCGCCATACTTATGAGGATCACCGGTGGTCACTTTCTGGTTATAAAGCTTGTCTGTCTTCAATATGAGATAGGCACAGCTAGCCAGGTGTCCGACCGGGTCGCCTTCTCCTCCACCGGTTTGGATCGGATTTTGGGTAATATTGTTCGGCCAGACAGGATCAATTCCGCCTGTCCAAATCTTATGCTGGCCTACCGGTGCTTTTGCTAAGTCATTCCTCTCCGATAGGACAGCATCGCAAAAGCGAAGCATCTGGTCTAGAGTTTCTTGCTGTCCAGCCATCTGATAGACAAGGCCCATTGCCTTTGTCAGCTCTCCGCTATGGCCTTGCACCCATTGATTTCCCTTGTTGTCGGTAGCAGGCTTCAGAGTAGCAACGTGGTCGTTGAAGGATTTGAGCTCTTCCTCAGTGACGGGACCATCGAAGCTGCTGACCTTCATTTGCGCATTGGCGACTCCTGTGAAAAGCAAACCTCCAAAGAACGCCCCTAGGGCATAAGCACCAAAGAGCTCTCGCATTATAAGAACCAGGGGTAGGAGATGGGGACTATAGAACTATTAGATGGTAGGTTCTTAGTCAAAGGAGGTGAAGGGTTCGAATTCAGACGAGAAAACGAAGGTATGATACATTATATAGTCAAGCTGTAGGGTCTTGAGTTCAGCAATGATTTCTCTGCCCTCCTCCCCCCCTACATACAGGTCCCGGAGGATCTCTTCGCCACTCACGCAATATCAATATCTCTGCTGCAGTCATGATTTGATTATGGGGTCCAAAAGCACGGCCTCGGAATCTATAAAAAGATAGACCTTCAGCCTTACGTGCCTTAGATTGAGTAGGTACTTGTAATTAATTTGTGAATTAATTATTGGCATGTCGCGGGACGTTTCCCCTTTCGTATAAAATATCCAAAGTCAGATATTGTCCAAGTGCATAATATTGATAATCTCCTCCTGCTTCATTAGGTCGCCAATAAAATAGACAATAAAATAGACGGATAGATCAATCGATCGATCGATCCTTACCTAAACATAGCGTTTCTATTTTAGAGATGTAAAGAATTGCTTTACCTTACTGAAGCTGCAGAGAGAAACAATATATGTACTTTCTACCAGGTAGGTATTTATTTACTAAGTAAAGTATTATGCATACATAACATTAGTAAGGTGCTAAGGTTTATCTCTCTGCCCTTTGCCCCCCCTGCTGCCTTTGTAAGACTAAGAAGGTACTTACCTGCCCCCTTTAAACTTAAAAATGCTTAAGATGCAGCTACCTGCAGCTTTGACCACATTGTACCATATATTCGTACAGTGTACCTACCTATCTCCTACCTAATCCTGCAAATACGTGAAAGTCGTTTAACGTCATATTTATTACACGTGATAGCGAGCTTCTTTCGCGTTTCGACACGCCTTTTAGCCTCACGTTTCTCCCGTCCTCTTCACCCCGCTTCTTTTGACCTGGAAGATACAACTTATTGTATGGAACCACTGCAACTTTATTGCGCGGGTCTGCTCAAACCCGCAGCCCGGCGTTGAATCCAACCATGTGGCTCCTGGAAAACGAGGGCGACGCCCTCGGTGGTAAGACGCATCTTACCTGGATTTTTGTTTTCAACTGCTAACAAAATCGCTATCTTCTAGGGAAACGGCTTTGGCTGCGACCAGGAAAGCGATACCTCTTTGGTCGAACCGTCGCTGAACGTATGCGCCTGCTTTCCCGTATCTATATTTATACTCAGAACGCCAGTAGCTGATGCGAAGTTAGCTGGACAGCTTGCCATTAAAGGAGAAGGAGCAGAAAGAGTGTCGCGAAAGCATGTCACTGTACAAGTCGATCAAGTAAACGAGGGAGATGGCGTACGTCGTCCCAATATATTTCGGTAGCCGTGCATTCCATTACTGAGAAATCTGCTATCAGGAAAATGTGTTGAGTCGATCACGCATCACGATAGAAGACCTAGGCTCAAAGGGCGGAACGCGAATCAATGATGAGAAGATTAAAGGGGAAAAGCGCGTTCTCTCTCGAGATGTCAACACCCTCCAGATGGGCACATTTCCGCCTAAATTTCGGTGTGTTGCCTCTGTCGGTGTAGAGCATGTGCGAAAAACAGCTAACTATATATGCCCGTCGTAGTATTACTTGGTTTCCCGTAGTCCTGAGCTTCTCCTTTACTGCTAATCAACTCCGCGCGGATCCTTTATCTAAGCTCCGCGAAGACCTTGAGCAACTTGATGTCAAGTTTATTGCTCGCTATGACGTCCGGTCGACAACCCATGTCGTATCGAAGAAGAGGAACGTACCAAAGGGCTTACAAGCCCTAGTGAACGGGCGATACCTCGTTACTGAAGGGTTTTACAATGCTATTATCACTGCAGCGACGCCTGAGAATGATAGTGATAGTGTGGCAACGAGCGCGTTGGAAAACGACTTCGACGCGAATTGGCCAGATGCCATGCAATTTGTCCCACCCCCAGGAGACGAGGCAGTCCCAAGACCAGTGGAAGCTTTTGCTCCTAACCCTGACCGTGCCGAGATCTTCTACGGCTACACCTTCGTGTTTTACAATAGAAAGCAATACGATAACCTCCTCGAACCCATAACAACTGGCAGGGGTAAAGCGCTACTTAATGAAGTAGTCGAAGGAGAAACACAGATTGACGACTTTATTAGGTACGTCAAAGGCGTAGCAGGGGAGAAAGGCATGGGAGAGTTCGAAGATGGAAGTGAGGGCAAAGGCGTTGTCGTTGTCAGATGGATACCCAGTCCTCCTCAGAACGCCGATTGGTTCGCCGACTTTTATAGATCCGTCTCGTTAAGGTTGGATCATAGACTTATCGATCAGAAAGATTTTCTTGACGCGATTCTTAATAATGATGCCAGTGTTCTACGGCGGCCTCTCGAGGCTGAAGTAGAGCCGCAAACATCACAAGCTGAAGCACAGCGTTCAAACGAAGAAGCTATGAACGTAGACAGAGATGAGCCCCCAGCTCAGCCATCTAAACCACCGTTCCGAAGGCGGGCAAGAGGGGCTATGAAGAGTCGCTTCAAAGGTTTCGACGTGGATTTAGAGGATGATGATATACGAGAAGGTATTCCAACTATCCCAGCATCTGAGGTGGGAGTCGCGGAGTCACAAGAAGGACTTTTCGTATCACAGGACGGTGCTATGGAGGAACCAGAAGAGATGGTCCACTCAAGCCGGCAGTCGCAGCGAAAACGCCGCAGCCCGCCATTACTGGAACGTCAAGAAACGATAGACGATTTTGCGCCTACAGCTGCTCAGGTGAAGCGTCGGCGCATTGCCGCTGGGGAAGATCCCATTCCTCGCAAACCAACACCGGAAGCGCCTATAGTAGAATCGCAGCAGGCCAGAGCCAAGGCCCAAAAGATCAAAAAGGAAATAGACATTCTTGATGTAGCGCGACAACATAGAGAAGACGCAGAAGCTCGCGCAAAGGCCGAAAGGGAAGAACTTGCTACCGCACCAGAGGGCCTCGACCTAGCAGAGATCCGCCGCCTGCACATTGAGGAGCCTATGGAACTACGCCAAGCGCCGTCAATACGCACCCGGGATCAGGATGTAGCCGACGGCCGCTGGGATCCCGCATGGAATGGGCGGAAGAACTTCAAGAAATTTCGTACCCAGGGTGCTGCTCAGGGACGGGCGCCACAGCGGATTATCGTGGCACTCGAAGAAGTTAAGTCAAAAGGCTTTGGTATCGGCGATGACTACTGGCTTGAAGACGAAAGTCAGCATCGGAAACGGAAGAAGCAAAGCCAAACGCATAGTCGGAGCCGAAGCACGGCCGAAAGAGATGATCTTCAGGCAAGCAATACACCAGTGCAGAAAGTCGGAAACCAGAGGCAAAAACTTTCCACTGAAGTTCTTCCCCCGGTAGACAGCAGCGAAGACGAGCAGCATGGTATGGAGGACGAGAGTGAAGATGCTATTATAGCTCCTCCATCAAGGACACGGACAAGTAGAGTGTCACAACAGACCTCACAGTCGCAATCAACCAGATCAACGCCACAGAGCACAGTTCAGAAGACGCAACCATCGAGAGCATCTAAGCGCGTAGCACCGCCTCCTGCTAAAGAGCAACCAGCAAAGAGATCTCGAACAGGATTTGTTGCTGCTAGCGATGACGAGAGCGATGACGGGTTACGGTTCAGGTTTGGGAAAAGGTGAAGGGGTCTTGAAGTTGTTAAATGTTAATTGTTGTCTCCTACTAGATGGTATTGTATCTATATAAAGGGGTATCTCGCTTCTATACCTAATTTACCATATGCTAACCATGAATATATCCCGGGGCCGTCAGACCTAAGCAGACCCAATTTCATGCTAATTGGTGTTGCTTATTTACCCGTTTTTCTAACAAATACACAACCCACGCTATGCTGTACAGTTATCTATATCCAATCCGACACCATCCTTTTGTTTGTACAAAGGTAGTCCACGGTTTTGTTTTGAGTCACATATAGGGAGCTAGGTATCTGGTGTGATAGATGTAGGTGCCTAGTCCATAGCATCCATCTCCCCAGCACTCTTCGCTTCGTGCTCCTCGACCAGCAACCCGATCAGACAACTCGATAGCATCGTCTCGTAATTAACCCAAGGATGGATCTCGCCAAATAACTTTGACCCGTCGCGCCCCGCAGCCCGTAATAACTCGGGCTCGCCGCCCGGGTGAAACGGTAAATAGGGAGTGATATTATACACGCGACCACCCAGCGCCGTCCATGCGTCCTTTCCCTTGCGCCCTGTCTGCTGCCGCAGCATGCTCGGCGTCACGCGTAGGTACGGCGCCCCCGGGCCCAGGTTACGCAGGTCGGCAGACGGATTATTAGATAGGCGCGCCCAGTCAAGCGGACTCCGGCCCGGCTCGAGGGTTACTTTGCGCGATGGCTTTGCCGGCTTGGATGAGTGCGTGGGAGGAGGGGCGAGAGTCGACGTGCCAGGTTGTCGGTCGTATTGGTGGCGGTTCGGAACAGGCCCGCGGGGAGGTACGCCGAGGCGCGAAGGGCCGCCATTAACGTTGTTCAGAGTCGGCGGGCGAGGAGGGGGTGCCATGGAGGTCTTTGATGGCGCGGTAGATGATGGTGTCATGGGTCCGGGGGGGGGCGAGGGCGCGGAGAATGTTGGAAGGGCGGATGGCGACGTGTTGGCTTCAACGGCGCGGGCAATGGCTGCTGCTGAGGCAGGAGGCTCGGGAGAGAGCGAGAACGAGGGTATGCTGCCGCCGCTGAGCTGGAGCGACGCTGCCGCTTTAGGAGTCGTTTGCGGCGAGGGCGAAGGGTGGGGTTGCGAATTCGTCGAGACTTCAGTCGGTTGTTCTTTTACAAGCTTCGAAGGACGCGGCAAAGCTACCGTATCAGCAGCAGCAGCAGCAGCAGCAATCGTGGCAGGTCTTTGGCTCGTCGCGGTTAATGAGGTATCGCGACCGGTTGTCGTAGCGGTCGACTGATCTTCCTCTTCGTCATGTTCTATAGTGATATCCGCTGAGGCAGGACGGCGCGTTGTTGGCGGTTGCTGGACTTGAGGGTCGCCGCGCCATATCGACAAGAGGGATTGGATGAAAGGCGGCCTCCAGATAGCGGCGTAGATCACGGAAGCTAAAACCAGCGACAACCCCAAGAGCGCCATCGCCGCGATATGCTGACGATATGCTGACGATATGCCGGATCACGCACCTGGATCCACGCCTTTGAGTTCCTTTTTCCTTTTCCTCCCCCGTTTTGCTTGATCACCGATCACACCTATCACACTTATTAAGATAGGCTAAGGTGTATTGCCTAGGATGTATTACCTAGGATGGACTCACCAGCAAATCAGGTGGTTGTTGATTTTTTTTTTTTTTTTCTTCTTCCTTTCCTAGCCTTGCCGGCGCTAAAAAAAATATCTAGTTTCCGACAATCGAAAGTTTTGTTGGTCAATGTCGTGCAGACGGTACCGGCCGCCAACTCAGCCGATCTCGCGCTCGATACCAAGACGGAGCGAGGGGGGGAAAGAGGCTGGGTGGTCCGGGTGGTGCAATTGGAATTCACCGCCTGGATATATCACCTTGATCCTACATTACCTAAGTTAGGTAGGTAGGTACCTAGGTAGTTGCCCTCGACCCACTAGAATTAGCAGGCAGGCAGGGTAGGTGGTACACTGTACAGCGCTGTCAAATTTAGTGCGTTTTGCTTTGTTGAAGTACCTAAATTAAGTAGATACTTAGGTAGGTAGCCAGGCAGTAATTTGCTAAACATTACCTAGCGCATCTAATGTACCTCTTATATAGTATTGTACAAGTCTATATGCAAGTCCTATGCCAGCTATGCTCCTCTTTTATACATTTATGTTATTACCTAGGTTAGGTATGTTCACGCATCCTGTAACTTAATACGCTCGTATTATTCCCCCTAAACTGCGGGGAGCCATGGGTGGTATCGGCATTAGTTATGCGAACGTACCCTACGTAAGAGAATGAATAAATAACCTCACAAGAGGAAAAGACAGGAGAGCGGATCTGGGCGTGTCAGACACGAGGACGTGCCCAGACAAGAGACCAGACGTATGTTTTGGGACGTCATCCTTTTATTTGTGGACAGCGAAATTGTTGATCCAGTCAAATTCGACGGAAGCATTCCAGACGATTTCTTTTCTACGCACCTCCTTAATGACCTTTTCTTTTTTTTTTTTCTTCCTTCTCCTCTCATATTTCCCACAATTGTTCGGTTATACCACTTTCATAAGAAACAGTCACATGCTATAGAGGTGCATGCAAGTATCGAGTATCGAGTATTGTTGCACAAGCGCACTCAATTAGTGTCGGGTCTAAACGGTATTGTACCGCCAAATAGAAGGGAGTCCAAACGGCCTACCTACAGTCCATTGAAAGGTAGGGCTTATTATTGCAGTATCGCAGTACAAGATACAACCTGTTTAGTGGGGACCTGAACCGCGCAGTTCAGGCCATCATATGCAATTGCGACCTTCAGGGAGAAGGAAGGAGTGAGAGGGAAAAAACATGGGTTCGACCTACCTAAATTGCCTTTTGACTTAGGTAATTTACATAGGTAGGTACCTTTACATAGGTACCTCACTTCACTTTTAACGATGCACAACACGACTTTCATTCCTCATACATCTTCAACTCAACCACCGTCTCCGTCTACCAACACGCGCGCCTCGGATTCGAGTTACCACTCCGTGACAAAGACGGGGCTGAAACGATTGCCATCCTCGGAATCTTTGGTATCAATTGGACGTAAGCCCCCTAGAACGGCTGGGAGCACAGGCACCGGTACACGGACAGGTACGAGAACAATAATATCCACCTCCACCGCCGCCACTACCATTGCCAAGACCTCCATAACTGCAGCAACCGCCTCGTCGTCCGCGTCCTCGTCCTCGTCCTCGTCTTCTAGAGCCCCCCTAAGGAGACGGAACCAAAATGCAGCGCCTGTTACAATTCCCCTGTTAAAGGAGCCAGGAACAGGAAGCATGCCCTTCGACACATCCTCCCCTCCGCTTGCCAGCCCGAATCCAAACTCCAGCCGACCGCAAATGCCTTCGCTCAGTGCCTCCGCCGCAAGGACCGTAAATAGGAACCCCTTAACCCCTAAGATCGCATCAAAGACAGGAGCCCAGTCTCCCGGTCTGTCTGCCGCGACAACCTCAACCGGTCGGCGTCAGCATCCACCCAGTGCAATCATCACCAGCCGAGAAACACCATCCAACCGTTCGAGTTATTTCGACGATTCGTCGTCCATTTCGTCTCACCTTACCGCCAACGTCACTCCTCGCTCTGGCTCGAGGCAAACCCGTGTCGATAGCGCTAACAACACACCTAATGGAACACCCAATCCAGACAAGTCAGATGCCTGGGATCACAGGTCCAGCTTCGGTTTACCGAGCCCGAGGACGGAGGGGGATGCCATGAGGAGGTCAGGGACCTCTTTTGGCTCAGTATCTCCAGACACGGCAAGTTATAAGAGGCAAGAAGGCGCCTATAATATAGAGTCCAAGTTTTTCCACGCAAGCGATGCGAAACCACCACGCCCAGTGTCTTCCTCTAAACCGGTCCAGGCAAAAGGTCCGACTATTTTCTATGCCAACGGAAATACGATAGAGAACAAGCCCTCTCACCCGACACCATTCGCACCAGTCCTCGGCCATTCTCAGGATGGTCTTTCCAGCAAATTTATGTACGCCAATGGGACTCCGGAGATGCGGTCCAGTCCCACACCTCCCGTATCTCGTAGCTCAGGTTCAACAGTCTCAACAGCCCCCAGACCACCCTCCAGCCGCCCGGCAACAATCCCTCCGGTTAGTAGTCACATACAGGCGCAGAGACCTGCTTCCCCGGCGAAATTCTCGTCGCAAGGCTCGCAAGTTTCGTCTAAGACCACCAACGTTCCGTCGTCAGGGCGTCCACAGGCATTATCTACTCCTCAGCTAGCGCCATCTCCTGGCCTCCGCCGGTCTAGCACTGGCCTATCAAGAACCAGCGGCCATTCTCGTGCAGGTAGCTTAGTCAAGTTAGACCATAGCTCTACTGCTCCGAAACCAACGAGCTCTCGCGCATCGCCCGAAACTTCTCCGCCGATGACCGTACCCCCTACCCCAGCCCCTTTGACACTCGCTTCCATAATTCAAGCAGCTGAGGACTTTGCTGAGAACGAAGAATGTGCCTCCCCAGACGAAGCTCCGTCAGGCCTACAAAGTCCCACCAATCCAGCCAATCCCACGGAACCGGTGAACGAATCCGTTGCAAACGCGAGACGGGAGCGCAAAGTTCAAGACTTGCAAATCACAAATGCGTCTTTGGAAGCCATTAACCGGACTCTTGAGCGCCGGTTGCGAAAACAGACTTCAGAGTTAAGAAGATATCAACGCTTATCCCGCTCCGGTAGACTCTCAACTGCGTCCACCGTAGTAGAAAGCCAAATATCATTAGAAGGGGCCTCGGAACAAGGATTAGGGGTAATAGATCTTTCAGATCTTGATGAGAATTCTGAGACTGAAGAGCTGGAGAAGGAGATGGAGATGGAAGAGGAATTGTCTGACAGCGATTCGGTGAACGAATCTCTTAGCCCAAGTGTTGTAGCAGAACAAGACGCAAAACACCGAAAGCGAGATGAGGAGCGGTTACACCTCGACTTATCAAAACATCAACAGTTGCTCGTCGATTCGCAGAAGATCAACCAGAGCATTAGAAGGTGTCTTGACTGGACAGAGGTGCTCATCAATGAAGGGAAGAAAGCCCTAGAGTATCGTGCTCCTATCGTCGGTGTGGAGTTGGGTGGACGAGTATTGGCTCCAGACGAAGAAGAGGATCGTCCTTCGACTGCGAACAGTATATCTGATAATACGATCGAGTTCGATGAAAAGTTTCTCGACGACCCTATCAGTTTGGCCAGCTGGGGGGGTTCAGAGCGACAGGATAGGGATAGTGGAATAGAACTCCAAGTCGACGGAGGATAGAAGTTGGAAATTATTGTCCATCCAGCTATAACAACACATCAGTACTGGTACGAGATTCCTTCTATTTTGGATACGATTCATCACAACATATAGCCCAACCAACTGCGTCGCCTCTGGGGTACTTTTTCTTATGTACCGGGCGACTTGATATTCGATAGTCTTTCAGTTGTTTTCTTTCTTGTTTCTCTTTTTTTTTATTCTCTGCTGTACCACCAATGGATACCCCCACAACCTATGACGGGCAGGCGTTGAGTCGATAGACCATCTCCACACCTCTAGACAGATCTCTATTTTTCTTATTCGACTCTTTATGATACCCACAAGCAATAGCGAATAAAGGAGCCAGCACTTACTTACACACACCCAAAGATAGATGGGGTCATGACAAAACACCTATAGGAGGTGGACGCAAGTTCTATTAGGAGCCGCACTCAGAGATGCCTATCCGTGATTGTTGACTTCGCTGGGGAATTTCTTTTTTTTCACTTTTTGTTTGCCTCTCAATTATGCGCGCAAGGCGATCTATATGCTCCGACGGAGCGAAAGTTGGCGGGTTGATAGCAACAATTGAATAGTTTAGTACCAGGAACTCTATAACAGACATTGCCCTGATTGGAATTTTCACGATTGGGACTGCCCAGTTCAGGGAAGAGCCATTATGCTCCATTGGATTGATACTTGCAATCACAAGTCTACTATAATAACGTCAAGAGATATACCAACTCCAGTTCCGTAAAGCGAGACCTGCTAAAGTTGGCTAATTAAGACATTGGTAGCAAAACCCCCAACATGTACGCGTTTATGCCTACACATAGTTATCACATGGTTATAGGTACTTCAAGAAAGGAGGGATAGGTAGCTACAGGATTTATCACACAGGTTAGGTTAGGTACCTACACAACTTCATAGGCCACCAAATGCTCTTTATATATTTATATTTATACCCTCCAGGCGCTTGGTAATATCGGTTGTTTTTGTTTTTCCAGTAAATAAGAACATCTTAGAAAACGGGAGATAGAGTGGATTATGTCCCCCTTCAGAGATTCATGCATTGGTAATAAATATTAAGGGGAGCTTTTTTTTTAATTCTCTTTTTATCATGGCCAAAGACTCCCTGAAACCAGTCTATGAATCGCAAAAACTGTTTATGATATCTTCTGTCTCCTTCCCGGATCTGATCATCAGTCCCCTTCGTTGACATTTCTACGCCGCTAAAAGTGCTTGAGTTTCTCCTCGCATTTTTATAACCCCCCGGGACAAGCCGCCTCCTATTCAATTTTCAATGCACATCAAGTTAAACTTATGTCTCAAGGACAATAAGAATGAATCTCGAATGTTTCCTGATCGCTTCCAGGAAAGTGATCTCCTAGCGAGTCCGCTATCATCCACAAGGCAAGCTCATTACGCTTTTTCCTTGTGTACGTCAGTCTTCTTGTCTTTCCCCTTCTTCTTGGGATCTTTCTCTTTTTCTTTCTTGATAGCAGCTTCGGCAACTAGTTGTTCGAATGCCATATACTCGCCTTCCTCTTCTGTTCTCTGGGCCTGGTGACGTGTTAGTAGATTGTCCAGGAGAAGTATGACGATGAGGTTGGTGGCCGTGCCGCGGAAAAGAATCAGCACATACCTTCTGAAAGATATCCGCAATTATAACAAGCGCTTGTGCTCGCTCCAGACGCTTATTCAAGGGTATTTTCTTATCATGGAGAACGCTATCGCAAACCTCCCGCAATACACTCTGGATCTCGAACTTGCTGCCCCGCCACGCGGCCGTGAGGATCTTCCCTGTGACTCTGCGCTCGTACTCAACCTTCTTTTCGTCGGTCCAGTCCTCGCCACCTGCCTGCTCCATACGCGCCATTTCCTCCATTGTTTGCTGTGCGTCAATGGCCGACGATATGGTGTTCCAGGTTTCCTTGACAAGAGTTCCCTTATCCTTCATACGGCTAAAAAAGCCACCGATCCCGAGGAACTTCTGCGATTTGATGAGCGCAGTCGCTTTTGACATATACACGGCACCGATAGCATGTAAGATGTCGAGTCCGAAACTTTCCATCTTGAGGTTTTCTACCTCGAGGCGGATCTGGTCTTCGAAAGCCCTCGTGACATCAGGACCTTTGTCTGTCTCTGTCCACACTGATATACGGTCGACAAGCTTTTTGGCGAGCGTGTCGACGCGCTCTTGCCGGATTCTAGCGCGCTCCTTCTCAAAGGCCGCAAGTTGATCCCGTTGTTCTTTGGTCAGGCCACCCTTCTTTTTCTCTTTTTTGCGCAGCTCTCTTTCCTCTTCTGACTGGCCTAGCAATTGTGCATCATCCGACGGGCGGTCCATGAGCGCAGGTCGTATGGGTATCGCATGTCTCGACGGTGTCGAAGTGCCGGAAGCATTGGGACTCGGTGACGCGCCGCGTGAGGGGACTGGTGGTTTATCGGCGGGAGCATCGTGATGTATTCCGGCGGCCGAATTTTCAGGTTCATCTTCGACTACGGTAGGTTTCGGTACGTCACCGGCACCAGTAGAACCAGTAGCACCAGTAGCATCGGTGGAATCAGTAGTTGCTGCCTTTGCACTCTCGTGCATAGCTTCCTCAATACCAGGGAATTCCGCCTCGTCCCCTTCTTCCTCGCCGGCCATAGTGATATCCATAGTGGTAGTCAAGTCCTTCATGAGAGTAATTTCTCCAATCCAATCGACGAAGGCATCGCCGCCAAATATACTACTAAAGAACTCCGCCGGGTCGACGAAACCCTCGGTAGGTTTGGCGCTGTCTTTTCCATATTTATCGTATGCCTTTCTTAGATCAGGATCCGAGAGGACCTGATAGGCTTCGCCGATGGTCTGAAACTTTTCGTGGGCGGTGGGATCGTTTGGGTTCTTGTCTAGGATGTGTTTTGTTAGCATGAGGGGACTAAGGTTGCTGTTGGATGCGCGCACCTGGATGGTGGATGATAGCCAGCTTGCGGTAGGCCTTCTTGATCTCGAGCTCGGTAGCTGTCGGCTGGACGCCGAGAGCGTCATAATATGATGTGTCTACTACCATGCTTGCTCTTCTAGCCAGTCACAAATGCAAATGCAAATGCAAATGCAAGTGCGAGGATCCGGTCTAGATTGCTGTATTGCGGGTGGGGATTTTTATAGATGCTGGATGACGTGAATCTCTGAAAGGGGGAGGGGGGGTTGGGAGGACCAGTTCTTGAGTTAGCGTTGGGCTCAAAGAGGAGGTGGAGGGAAGTGTGGTAGAAGTAGAAGATGATTCAGATGTTTTTGACTTATTAACTTGCTAGGAGAAGCATTTAGGGGGCTGTGGTAGGTGCATGTAGTAGGTATATATTTATGTAAGGTTAGGTACCTAATACCTTAGGTACCTAAGGTAATATTTATAGGAAGTTGTGTCCGAAGAGAGATAGAAGTCGATCACGTACCTTGGGTCCTGGACAGCTGGGTAAGTACGAAGTGGATATTGAAGAATAATACTTTATACCAAAAAGAAGAAAAAGGAAAAGAGAAGAGCTACAATTGTCTTATGCCTATGACGAAAGTTACATAGCCTATAGGGTCTGTGGCACAGTGTTCAGCGCCACAATTTTTTAATTTTTTTTCTTTTCTTTTCTTTTTTCTTTTTCTCTTCTTTTTGCGTAATATGCCGCTGACATCCGAGAGTGCTGGTATTGTACATAATTATACGTACATCCATTATATTAACTAGCTGATTACCTAGGTAGGTACATTATATGTAAGGCGGGGTCAATTTCATGTTCTGTTTGCCCCACCATTTTCAGCCATCCATCCTGCTAATGCCAATAAACGGACAGCCCTGTTTCTCTACAGTGGTTTTCTCTTGCATCTCTAAGAGAACGTAACGGAACGTCGCCTTTTCCCCTCTCTATTGCAAATCAACCATAGTCAGCGCAGTTCCCATGCCTAACCGTCTAACTATATAGGTACTAGTCATCTAATAAATCCATCCCATAGCGCCGCGAGTTCCAGAAGAGGATAAAATACTATATATATACCTAAGATATGCGGCACATCGCTTGCGCCAAATGTGGTTAAGTGGCTTGGTAGTTTAAAGAGGCCGCCAACGAAGCTCGTGCCCAAACTCATTTAACCCCCGCAGCTTTCATCCTCTCAAAGCACTTCTTATAAGCCTCGTGGACCTCAGGCACCGAGTAGTTATACTCCCTCAACTTCTTCTCCAGCTTCTCCGTGTCTAGTAGACAATTACTACGACCGGCCTTAATCACTTTAGCTTGCTCCTCCACAGTGAAGTTCTTCCATGTGAATCCTGGACGGACTATGTCCCTGAAGAGCGTCAACACTTCGTTATGGCTAATGGCCCCGGGGTTGGTGAAATTGTAGACCCCCGTGTCGTTATGCTCTGCCATCAGCACGGACGCCGGCAAAAGGTCGGTTAGAATCGTGTTGCTATTCGGAATGTCAACCACGCGCTCGTACTGGCTAATCTTAGTGACGAAGTTGCGTGGGTGTAGATCATCTGACACCGGCATACGCAAGCGGAGGATTAAGCAGTTTGCGTAATATTTTATTATCTGGGGGTTGTGTAAGCAAACCGTTTCTTGAATTCCGAGTTACTAGTTAGCAACGTCATCTCACCTCCTCTACGTGGCCCTTTGTTTCCGAGTAGAAACTTCCCGTGAAATTGGTCGGGTCCGTCTCCTTGAACCCGGGGCCTCCGATCGGATGGGCATCGTCGTAATGATATATGCAGCCGGTGGCGAATACGGTACAGTGGATACCAGCAACGAAGCAGCAGTCAGCCAGGTTTAACGTTCCGATAACGTTGGAGCGAATCGTATCTTCTTTGTGATCTTCGCACCAATCGACGTTGGGACGGCCGGTGCAGCCAGCGCAGTTTAGAACATGAGTGGGTTTGACCCTGTCCAATTCTGCCTTGACGGCCTCGCGATCTTCCATACGGACGGTCGTCGTGAAGACTTCTTTCCCTTGACTTTTGAGGAGCTTCTCAAGGTGACCGGCAATCCAACCCCTGCCACCCCAGACAAGGAACCTGTTTTCCCCGGTCGCGTGGGCTGTTTCCATGGCTGATATGCTGCTCTTCGGAGGAGAGGTTCCGGTTTGGCGTAGTCGTTATAAAAGAGACGTAGACGGGGGATGGAATTTAACGAACTTTAAGGGGCGATAATGCAAAAGCAGCGGAGTTGTGGAATCGTGAAGTTTGAGGAGAATGAAAAGGCTGATATGATATTAAATTATAAAGTTAAATTATAAAGTTTATCAGTTATTAAATTATTTTAATTGTGACTTTCATAGTTTTTCAAGAATTGGGAAGTGGCTTTGGGTATTAAATGGTTTGGTTAATATAGGTATGGCATATAGGAGGCACTGATTAGGGGGCGTAACTACCCCTTCCAGCAATCGCGTACCTGGTAATTGCTGTTTTCAGGAGTTTTTAAGAGGGCTAGAGGGGCAAAATTGTCTTGGTGATGTACGTCGGGGCCCGGTACGCGGGCGTGTGCGCCCAAACTTTCCGGCTGATCGGCAACCCTGGAAAAAGCTCCATTCGGACAAATTTCAGATGTATAAACTTCTTATTCTTATGTAACTCTATAACCAAATACTAATGGCAAAGATGGTTACCGGTCAGCCGGTGTGCTTGCTTCCTTGCTTACAGCCGTACCTGCATATTGCTTACGAGTGCAGAAAACAATTTAGTATTCCGGTGTTAATAGTGAATGTACCCCCAAACGCTTAGAGATGCAGATGATGACTTTAATATGTGTCGCGAGGTTATAAAACAATTTTTTTATTTTTTATTTTTTTTTATCTTTCCAAGTATTGCATCCACTTATGTAAACTCGGTGCTCGCACCCCGCAGCGGAGGCTTTCTGGTAACTTAGTAAGTGCCCTTAGTCAACCCGTTTTTTGTTTTTTTTCCGTCTTCTTCTTCTTCTTCCTTTCCTAAGTAAGCAACTTTCACATAGGCCGGAAACTTAGCGCCTCGCTTGGTCTTTAGTGGGCAGACTCTGATTCGCTATATATAACCTTGCATTGGATACCTTGAAATTGGCTGTGGAGACGGACTTTTTTGTTTCTTCCCGGCAATGTTTTTTTCGACATGGTCGAAGTTCCCCCCAATGGTAAACTTGTTTTTTTTTTTCTAACAAAAAACATACACTTATTTTGATACCAAAAACCCCGTTCCGTTCCGTCCGTCAGTATATCTACCCAACTATCGTAATAATAATTCTTTTTACTATGTTGTTATGAACACCATTGCTATCGTTTAATACCCACCCTCTCCCCTAACGCGTTGACGTCGCTTCAGAGTTTTATACTCAATCCATTCACACCGACACCTACCCCTTAACCACTCGACACTCTTCGATATACTCCCATCAGCAAAAAAAAATGGGTGGCCTTGGTGAAGTGCTATATTACCTATTCCACCCAGTCCAGCTACGGTCGATCGTACAATGGTAAGGCCGGTTCCATTCGTCTTCTATCCTTTCTGGCGTACGTATCGCTCGCTAACTCCTGGATTTACATCGTAGGAAAGTTTGGCACGAGCCGGCTTATAAGCGGGATCCCTCCAAAGAGGCTCCCACTTTACGATCATGTTTCAACTTCCTAAATATGACTAGCCGCAGCTTTTCTGCTGTCATTCAAGAGCTACAACCCGAAATGCTAGTCCCTATTGCCCTGTTTTATCTCGTGCTAAGGGGATTGGACACCATCGAAGATGACATGACAATTCCCGTAAAGACGAAGGAGCCTATGTTACGCGAGTTCGACAAGTACTTGAAGATTGACGGCTGGACTTTCAACGGGAGCGGCCCCAACGAGAAGGACCGCGAGCTACTCGTCCATTTCGACGATGTAATCGCAGAGCTGAGGAAGATCGACAAGAAATACTACGATATCATAGAAGATATCACCATCAAGATGGGCAATGGTATGGCCGACTACGCTTTGAATGCGGAGTTCCAAGAAGGCGTCAAGTCGCTCGAGCAGTATGAGGAATACTGCCACTACGTTGCTGGCTTGGTCGGGGAGGGCCTAACTCGCATCTTCGTGCAAGGCAATACGGCAAATCCCGCTCTACTTGACCGCATGGAGCTTTCCGAGAGCATGGGCCAATTCTTGCAAAAAACCAATATCATACGCGATGTACACGAGGATTTCGAGGATAAGCGTAGATTCTGGCCGAAGGACGTCTGGAGTAAGTACGTTGACAGGTGGGATGACTTGTTCGACCCGAAGTACCGTACCCAGGCTCTTCAGTGCAGTTCCGAGATGGTTCTCAATGCTTTGAAGCATGCCGACGAATGTTTATATTACATGGCCGGCATCAAGGAGCAGAGTGTTTTCAACTTCGTCGCCATTCCACAGACCATGGCCATCGCCACCCTTGAGCTTGTTTTCCAAAATCCCAAGATCTTCTATAGCCACATCAAGATAACAAAGGGCGATGCTTGTAGCCTAATGATGCAGTCAACGCAGAACCTGCGAACCGTCTGCAACGTATTCAAGACATATGCAAGGAGGATAGCTAAGAAGAACGATCCAAGAGACCCTCACTACCTTGAGATCAGTGTCGCTTGCGGCAAGGTAGCTTATACTCACTCGTTCGCGTCATTCAGTTAACCATTGCTAACCCCAAACTTATAGATCGAGCAATTCATTGAAACACTATTCCCAACACAGGATCCAACGAAGTTGCATGCTGTGCAGGAGGCGGAGGGACAGGAGGCACAACAGGCTGCTCAGAATGATTTCTGGGAAGCTTTATTATTGGTTGGATCTGTTGTATTTGTGCTTTTATTGGTTTCTGCTTTGATGGTACGTGATGCACCCGCCCAAGTCCCCTTCCGCAGAGGTAAATCTAACGAGATGGGAATAGCTTGGTTTGGCATGGTATATGGGAGCGAGGTTCGACGTGATATTCGACAAAGCGGCGGCATCCAGCTTGAGAGATGCGGCCAAAGCAACAGTCACGACAACCACGACCTTGACTCATGAGGAGTTATAGCGGGCGTTTTTGACCGGCACGACGCAGAAGATGTATGATAACGCAAATGGCGCTGGTATGACTCTTTTAGAGGATCGCCTTCTAATAATGGGCTAAGGCATGATAGGCCATGCTATGAGATGATGAGGCATCCCCTTTAGATTATTGCTAATAATATATACTAATATCGTAAGTAAGCCCATATTTTCGTGACGCAGTATATCCAATACCTTGATTAAGGGGCAGTCAGTCTAAGGATGGAACAATAAGCACGGATGTCAAATTACAGTCCAGTCTTTCTCAATGACTGTGGTTGTGCCGAGAAGTGCTGACATTAAATTTTATGGCGAGGAGTACCGAGCCCGTTGCGGCTCGTAGGCACACGGTGGGCTTTGAACCTGATCGATACCCGGACAGGGTTCCCCGTCGTGGATCGTCAACATGATATTATTAGATACGTTTGACAGAGTGATGACACGGTTGGGAATACTTCCTTGGCATTATATCTTGTTGCGACGTGAGCAAACAGGGCAGGGAGTTGATGATGACTGAGTGGTGACGCAACTAGAACGTGAACGACAATAGCTCTTTCACCGGTCAATCTCGTATCAAGATGCATGATGACACTGACGATCTAGTAATGCTTGACCATTTCAATATTCGATTTTAGCTTTTCTCAACTAATAAATTATAATATTTCCACCTCGATTGCTGCAACAGAACTAGATCCATCCTATGACCTGGAGCTCCAACTTGTTTACCATGTCGCGAAACGTATGCATTACTGGTGCGGAGGGCCAAACTGGCCACCTAATTGCCAACTTACTGCTTCAACAAGACAAATATCCGGACATCGATAGGGTTGATTCGGTGGTGGCTTTAACGCTTCACCCCAGACACCATCATGTGAAGGAACTACAGTCGCTCGGCGCCAAAATTGTTCATCATATTCCCGGACGAGAGAAAGTCGTGGCGAATGCTCTCAAGGAGACAGGCTGCGACACTATCTGCCTGGTGCCACCGGCCCATAAGGATAAGCATGATATATGCGTAGAACTAGTCCAAGCCGCCAAGAAGGCCGGTATACAAAACGTGCTGCTCATCAGCTCTGCAGGCGCCGACTACGCAGATCATAAGCGCCAGCCCCGTCTGAGGGAGTTCATCGAGCTCGAGAGTCTAGTCCTGTCTACTAAGGGGGATCCGTCGGCTCCGCTTGGGCACTCCCCTTGTGTGATCAGGTAAGTATGTGCATGTGTGTTTATAGCGGTAGATTGCTGCTCTAACGTGATGGACAGGGCTGGCTTCTATGCCGAGAATATACTGCTCTATGCACCGCAAGCACAGTCCGAAGGCAGCCTTCCGCTGCCCATTGGAAAGGAACATAAGTTTGCCCCGGTGGCTCTCGGCGTATGAGTCCCAAACGTTGCGAATAGACGCATGTTTTGCTTTGCTTATCAATATTATAGGATATTGCCCAAGTCGCCGCCCACGTTTTATCCGGCAAAGGCCCACACGGGTTCGACGACAAGCATCGCGGGCAGATGATGATCGTTACTGGTAAATTATGTCCCAGATGACCCCGTCGTTAGATGAATCAGGATTTGAAGAACTGAGTGTGTTGTTCAATAACTTAGGTCCTCAGCTATGCGCCGGAGAAGAACTTGCCACAGCGGCAAGTACAGCCCTCGACAGTCCAATGCAGTTTGAAGATATTTCACCGTAAGCTCCCTACATTCAAACTGTACATGGAGAACTCAACTAAACGCACCAAACACCGAAGGGCGGAAGCGAAGAAAGTCCTTAAGGCACAAGCGTCCGAGGTCGATGAGTCGGAGAAGGAGTATTTACTCGAGTACTACAGCCTCGTGCGTGAGGGTAAGACGAACTACATCGCGACCACGGCGTTCCACGACGTCACCGGGAACCACCCTACTCAGCCTACGGACTTTTTCAAGATGTATTCGGATGATTTTCGTCCAAAGAAGAAGGCTAAGCAGAACCATTCATGATTTTCCGCGTATAAGGGTTATAGGGGGTATTGGTTAGTCCAAGACGGTGGCTAGAAGTTTGCCAAGATATGTTTCGTCTTCAATCGGTCTCAGGCCCTTAGAAGCTTTGGCGTTTCTAAGGGCTTGGCTTCAATCTTCTGTCTCACATCCGCCCCGGCGTATTTGCATATTGCGTAAGCCCTTCGAAGGGGGTCGCTTGGGACCGCCCCGATACATACACGCCTAGTTCCGCCGCTGTCTTACGACTCGTAAATAATTTGAGCTCGTAAGATAGACTAAGTGAAGTGGATAAGGTTCCTTGTTAGATTCGAAAAGGGGGAATGACTAGGTGGATAACATTAGGTAGTAATACATATTTTCATACTTTATAACAACCAAAAAAAGAAATCATCGTAACCAAAATAATTATATGATATGTATCGATGGGGTTTAATTAGATATATACTGAATATCTACCGGCTCAAGTATACACAGTATCAGTGTACCAAATGACACACCACTGGAACTGTTGGCTCGGCTTTCTATCGTGAGAATGGTCACATCCACATCCGCAGAGCTTTTTCTTCTTATCGTCTTCTCTATTACGCATGGTCGCTCATCTATTCCAAGTATAACACCTTGTTGCGCTATCCACGTATATATATATCCTTCTCCCAAATGAGAAATAAAAATGTATAAAATAAGGCCCAACGTTCGCCTCTTGTCGAAAATCGCTATATGTAGTATTGAATTCATGCTTCGCTAGATGCTGATCACAATATGCGCTGGAATGAGGTACGTGTAGAAAGCGATAGGATGAGGTCCCTCCAACTTGAAATCGAAACTCTCCGTAAATAATCAGACAGACGTAAGCGACATCATGTGCTGCTGGATTATAGGTTGCCGTTATTGGCGATGACACGCGTAGTGCCCCTGACGTTCCGTCGGACACTTGCACCAGTAGCACTACCCAGCTGCTTGATGCGGTCCGAGACAGCGGTAGGGTCAGTAATACCCTCAAGAGACATAAGGTAGGCCGCAAGACCAGTAATGTGAGGAGAAGCTGCAGTCCTGTTAGCTAACTATTCATCCCACAGCATCAGCCATAGAAAGAATTAGGAACATACCCATGGAAGTACCGCTAAGAACCTCGGTGGCATCGTTGCTAGAAATACCGACACTCTCGACGTCGACACCAGGAGCATATACATCGACGAAGCTACCGAAGTTGCTGAAGCTGGCACGTCGGTCGTTGGTCTGGTCAATGGCACCGACAGTGATGGCATTGGGGCTGCTTGCGGGGGAGACATTGGCGGCGTCCTGGGCTTCGTTTCCTGCGGCGACAACCGGAACGACACCGTTGGAAAAGAGGCGCTCAATGGCGTCGTTAACAGCCTGAGAGGCGGGCCCACCAAGAGACATGTTCATGACCGACTTTCCCTTCTTAGCATCTGAAGCAACAAAGTTGAGACCGTCAATCACATCAGCGTTGGTACCGCCTCCTTTGGCATCCAAGACCTTAACACCAACCAACTGCACGTTCTTCGCAACTCCGAACGTGGCACCGCCGACGGTACCAGCAACGTGGGAACCGTGTCCATTCAGATCAGTGGCCTATTATTCGGTTAGCTTGGCTCCCCCCCTGGGATAATAAGGCCAAACTGATGACAATTCAGCAGGCAGACAAGATATTATATATACCTCTTCTTCCTCAACGGCATTGAACCCCATAACAGCTCGTCCCTGGAAATCTTCGTGTGTTGTCATAATACCAGTGTCAACAATGTACGCAGTGATTCCCTCGCCAGCTGAGTCGTCAAACACGTAGCCCTGACCGCCAGTTTGGGCGTGGCTAAGGCGGACCAGGCCGTTAGGTGCGTTGGCCTGGTTTACGAGACCGGAAGCCTTAACATATGTATTGGCCTCGATGTACTTAACCATGGACGTGTTGTTTATCTCGCTCAGCATGAGATCATCTGAGTCCAGCGACATAGCACGCCAACCCGACATGGCGAATGTACGGACTCTTGTGGAGAGGAGCTGGCCGAGAAGCCCACGCTTGTTCAGGTTGCGCTTCTTGACGGCCACCTTGATGGACTGTTGGTGCTGGTCGATTTCATCGTCGGTATAGTTCTTGTGGTAGACGACAATGTACGAGTTAGGCACTATATCTGTCGCATGCGGGTTATTGACAAAGGCTGCAACGGCACTGGCTATAGTACCAGCTACTGATTCAACAGAGCTTGATGGAGGGTCAATGGGACCGGAAGGCCGCCATAAGTTCAAAGGGCTTGCGACTGCTCCTAACGGGGCGAGGGCGAGGAGAGCGGTAAAAACGGTAGCGATGCTTGGAGCCATTTTATCGATTCGGGTATGAAGTTGTGAGTATGACTCTTTGGATTTTCTCTTTTATTTCACCTCTTTTTGTACCAGACAAATCGAGAATGATCCAATACTGTTTGTTGATATCGCTAGTGAGAGGACTCGAAGCCCAAGGGCTTACTTAGTTGGTATGTACTGTTAAAATGAGAGGCTACAATCGAATCACCGATTCGGAAGTAATTTTTGAGAAAAAATAATGATAATAATATGTTCAAGTGAAGGATGAGGAACAAAAAGAGGTAGAGAAGGTTGAAGGTAAGTCTAAGTATCTAAGTAGAGAGAAACGAAGACTAATAATAAAAAAATGGTACCTTCACGATCCACTCTGACCCAGAGAAAAATGAGAAGAGAAGAAGAAAAAAAAGACGTGGGAGGGTTATTGAGAGACGACAAGCAAACTCGGGAAGGGAAATAGGCAAGGGAAATGAGAGGGCATTGTCTTTTTAATAAAAGATTGTCAGCCGGTCGCATATAAAATAACTAAATAAGGCATCTAAGTAGGCATTTGCATATAGGAATCGTACAATGGGAATGGATAATACACTACGATTGGTAACCCCATAAAGCACGCCCCGTCGAGATCAACCCCTTAAGCATGGACCATAGACCATGGGCTTTGAAAGCATGGGGCAAGTAACCTTGTTAATCGGTAATGAGTACTTGGAAAAGATTCGAGAGGCTCGTTTTTACACGTAAGGAATCTACCCATTAGCAACGCAAACCCAGTCTACACAAGGCTAGGCGAGAATCATCATAGGCGCCAAGTAACGGCCAAGTGCCGCCAAGTCAAACATGAGCCCCTAGGGGCACCGGCGTTGATCCTCAAGTGGCAGGGGTTTGGGGGCGCCTCCAGCATACATCTCTGCATGCTTGTCGGTTCGTCAATCCCAAACGAGGCCTTGCGACAGGCCAACTGGGAAAGTAACAGGGTCGATGCGATCGTGGTGCAGCATAGAAAACAATAACAAACCGCCATATTGACCACCATATTGGGCCGAATCCGTCTTTCTTGCACCTCTTTTAACCTCTTTTACATCCAAGACCAACGGGTTGTAAAAGGAAAAAGGAAATTGTTTAGCCTAACGCGTTGCCCACTCCCCACATCCGTGGTATCCAGTCAGAGCCGAGTCGATAAAATTGACAAGTCTCGTACGATTTTGATCTGTAATGTGAATATGTATGAAAGGACAGTGAGTGATGTCCCTACTAATGTCCCTATTGATGTCCATATGCTTCAGTTAAGGAGTACCAACTCGGATGATCCTTTAGGATCACGAGAGCATCGGTAAGTGCCCGGGGGGCGAAAGCCCACGTATTATAAGAGATAATCCGACTACTCTTCAGCCGCGCGTATGAATCCAACCGTGGCGACGGTGGGTAACTACTATGTATATGAATGAGGCCCGCCTGTAGGATGCGATCGTCGGTAGAACTGCACAATAACAGATTAGGTCGGATGTATCCAAAGTCGTCATTGATACCTCCGAACCCTACATAGTAGCTACTGCAAACAGATGATCTTGAAGTTTGCGACTACTTCCTCGCGACTGACTAGTGCTATTTCGGAGGAATTGACAGATTTGGCAACGAGATGAATTATATGGCTTCTAAGCATTACCGTGAGGTAGATACCAAGACGTCTAGGCCGTCTAGGTTGTCTAGGTTGCCTAGGTCGTCTAGGATGCAATCGGAAGATCAAAGCGGCTCTAATTGTGGGTGAAGAGACAGATGTATGTAATTACTTTGAAATTCGAAAAGCCCCCCAAAAATCGAAAGAAAGTCGAGCCCTTGATACCTAGGTACCTAACATTATGATACATTATGTACTTTGTACTCGACTGCCCAATAGAGCCGGGACCCACAAAGCAGAAACAGGTATTGAAAAACTATTAGGGATTGCCGCGTTAAGCTGTTTGAAGTAATAGCGGATTCTCACATCTGAAAGACGTTTCAGCAATCTTACTCGCATGCCACTTACACTCATTAGAGGTACCTGAGGTACGTTTAACACGTGATATATGTAGGTATTTATGTTATCACAAACCAGCAAATGCACTAATCTATCTTCTTGTACGTTATGAAGCCGTTATGCAGCTAATAAGTCCCCAGCAACGATATAAGCGCAGCTGCCACATGTCACATCTCGGACTGTCACGACTCATCGAAAACTCTCGACAGCTTAAAGAGAAACCAGCCATGCAAGTAATCCCGATCAAATAGGATCCACTCCTAGGCATGAACGGGTCTCGGCCTTAGCCATCGAATGAAGATCTACTATGTACTGCAAGCTAGCTAGTCCACTGAAAGCTTAACAACAGACGCCAACGGGCACCAACAGGACTAAAAGCGCATATGTAGTTCGTACACGTTGCTAATGCCACAAGGCGGCTGTGCTATTCCAGCAAACCCACAAGCCAATGCCCTGCGAAGCTAGTTGACTGTTGCATGAAGCATGAAGATATATATATATATATTGAGCATGCGCACGCACGTTGTACCGACATACATTTTACATAGTTACATAATTACGTACCTTGGGTAAATATAAGTTTATGAGATAAGGAAATTCGGAAAGTCCATGTTAAAGATATGTTGAAACTGTTTCGCGGTATATTATATACGGAATAAAAGGGTAAAATTTAAGTAATAAAATTAAGCATTAAAGAACAAAAAATACGAGACCTATATATATATATTATTTTGTTCGAGAGAGACGTACATGCTTGTATTGTTATTATCGTTATTATTTAATTTTACGGTCGGGTCTTTAGAAAAGACCAAAAAAAAGTATGCGTTGTCATAAGGATGATGACTACAGACAGCCCGAGACTTTTAGGGTTGATAACAGCACGTTATCTGGTAATTACCTGGTAATCATGCATTATATTGTACAATACAATACCTAGCTTAGGTACCTATCTAGGTACCTAGACCTAGTAGATTGGTATCAATGCAGGCGCTACCTAACCTCCAACTTGTACCAGTTACTCGGAGCAGTTGTCCCCCCATCCATCCATCTTTCGACTTTTCATATCAACTGTTTGTACCTACATACATAATTTATAGTTCGATATACCTACGCCGCTACGTCTCGCAGGTACCTAGGTACCCAAAAGACTTTGACGGCACGAAATGTAAAAGTCACCTCCCCGGCAAATCTGTCCACGTCCCCTTTGCATCATCGGAAAATAGACGACGATAACTGTTATGACTTGTTGCCATACCCGATTTCTCTCTCACTCTTACACAAAATCGAAAAATCCCAGCTCACGAGCCTTACGAGTCGAACCTGATTACAACGTACCGATCGATATCGACCATTATCAATCACCTTGACCATCCATAATCGCCATAATCACCATACTCACCATACAGCATTTACCACTTCGTTGCACGTGTTCATTCGCCTTTTTTTTTTGGCTTCCGCTACCGCTCGATTCAAACCCTAGCCCTGTTGACCTTTCGCCCAAATATTCCATCAACTCGATTGTTACGTTTTTCGTCCAGAAGTCAGGCCGCATCACCTCGGGAGGGATCGTCGTCCCTTTGTAACAACCTCTTACTATTAGCCGGTCTACCGTCTGTCCGGCTAGGGAGATCTGTCAGCACCGAAATTGGCTGTTTCAATACTCTCTCTTTCCCCCTTTGTTCAGTCGACTACTTTTGTGGCCATCTCGAATCGTCAGTTACACCACCGATATTCTTTCGCTGAATTGCGCTTGGACACGAACTCCGCTTGCCACACCGAAACATACCCGAGTCCCGAGCTAGGCCTTGAGGTAGGCCATTTGGTAGTCCCCTTGGTAGTCCTCTTGGTAGTCCTCTTGGTAGTCGACGGGATTATTGAAAACACCTGTCATGTACAAGCATACCTCATAGTTCCCTGGAATCTCTTCGGTAGTCAAAAATGATCATGGTTGGCACCAGGGACTCTGCCAATTTTCACAATGGAGACACCATTCCTGTTGCTGCGTTTGAGGCTCACTCTCAAAGTCTTCATCTCCCAAGAGAATCGTACGTACAAAGAGACATATCCAACGACCGGGACGAAGATGAAGATGAAGGCACAGCAACGGTTGAATTGGCTGCTATCATGACAACTACATCAACGCCTGTCACACCTGGGCCTGCAAGTCCACCTCTCGAGCCTCCCAAGTCCACTGATTTTGTACCTCCGACGCGCCCCAGTAGTACTCCGTTCCCCAATGCTCAGCAGGGCCAAACTGATATCCGCTGCCTAACCTGCCAGCCATACTGCCATCGGATTCGGGGCAGTATGGCCACGAGCCCAGTTTCCACTCCCGTCGTGGCGGAACAGAATCCTATATTAACCCTCGCCCAGTTACCAGCCGAGATCCACGAATGTATTCTTGACCACATATTTGGATACCGGGTTTCTACCACATCACCAAGTTCCCTCAACATTCCCAGTATGAATGCTCGAAGCTGGAGTACCGCGTTGCGACATTCGAGGAGGAAGGAATTATCTAATCTAGCTTTCGTCTGCCCCTTGTGGAGAGATCTCATTCAACAACGCCTCTACCGACATATCAAACTAAAAGCCACAGTTCACTGCAGCAATGATGTTATGGCCTTTTTCGTACGCCACCCTCACCTTCGAACGTATGTGAAGCATATCGAGATATGGTTTCCGGTATTTCAACCCAAATTCCACGCCACGACTCCAGGGGATACGTCTCTTGCGCTACCGACAGTTTCCCCCGAGGGAATCGCAAGCGCAACCTACGCATTGCCAACTGACAACTCTACACTCGAAGAAGTTTTCTATCTCGTGAGCATATTGTTTCCTGAGGCGCGGGTAATGACACTCGAGGGGGGAGAAAGGAAAAAGGCACCGCGGGTGAAGTTCAACTTGGTCGGACCGCCAGGACTTGCCAGGGATTTGCCTGAAATTCCATCAGTTCGAACGCTCATTGTGAAAGGCCAGTGGAACATTATTCGGCAGCCGAAGGATTGGGAAATTATCTCCCGCGCGTTACCGAACTTGGAGGAATGGCATGGCACCTATGCCAAGCCCAAATCCAAGAGTTACCTTAGCATGGCGAGCACACTCGAGTGCCTCGATGCCAAAATCACCAGTCTTAATCTCTGCCTTGAGTGTGACTACAGGAGGGAAATGTCAATCCCCCCTTACTATATGAAAGTTTGCGAGCAGCTCCACTGGTGTGAGAAAATGGCGAAAGCCGCAAGTAACCTGGAGCACTTCTCCTACACGGGACGTGTCTGTTCCGGGTTCTTCGACGTGCTTTCGAGATATTCAAATCCGCGCACTACCCGGCTTAAGACCATCGATGTTACCGTTAAGAATTGTTGCCGGCAAAATGCTCAATGGAATGAGTCAGGCTCGGGCATCACTGACATGCATTTCATTGCCGCTTTTGAGCAACTCGTGCTAGGCGGGATTCGAGCCTTGGAACGTCTGAAATCTGTAGAACTACTGCGGATCCGATATGTTGATCTCGGTAAGTATCCAAGTCCCATCTTTACCGCCCAATTTCCATACTGACCTGCCCCTTCTAGATTCTCCTGTCCCGCCTCTGAACCCCTATTTCATGATTAGAGATGGCTGGTGCTCGGGGGTGTGGAGCGAGGAGATCGTAACAGAGATCAACTGCGTGCGTCCTGATATTCGCTTCGAGGATATGGTGGACAGCTTCGGGGAGGTAGGCTATAATAAGGAAGGTCGGTTGGTTATCAACCCAGACTTTCCAAAGTCACGGGTGCTCTCCCTTAAATTAGCCAACTATGCCATGCTCTCTGGTGGCATCTCAATCGTGTGAATCTTGATGTTACAATGTCGTCTCACGGTTAGATGATCGCGGCGTGTACTACGATACCCTGCTCCATATATGAGTATAGGTGGAACGGTTGTTAATCACTTAGGTGGCTCGTACATATGTGGTGCTTATATAGAGATCATACGTAGCAAGACCATGCAATACGTACAATATTGATGTCAATATCCTACGTAGGTAGTGCTGAGGGAAGGGAATGCGTAAATGGATGCTTCTCCGGTAGGTTGGTTTCCAGGGATAGGGGATAAACAGGACTAAGCTCTCAGGAAGTGAATAATACCCATTGTAGTGGCTTTTTGGTCAAGCGGTGCAAAACTCTCTCCTCGACTATTTCCCCAGAGGGGCGTATCGTGTGGATAAGTTTAATGACAATTGAATTAGTAAATGCGACCCAGAAGCCCTAGGTGGTGTGTGTACTGTAGTTCTGGGGCATTTATACGAGATGAGGTCACTTGTGGCCGAATCGAAGACGCCGAAAACCTCAAATGATACATCCACCAGAAATATACCATATATTGCGTAAATAAATGAAAGGTGCCTAAGGTAACCTGACCATTGAGACGAGAGAATAGCATAAGCGAGCATAGCAATAACTATGGTTTTTTCATACATCCTTCCTCTCCCTCCCTGAGTCAAAGGCGCCGGTCCATTGACAGACTAGCCTCTCATTCTCCTTTTTGTACGTATGGACTAGATCAGTCAAGTAGTAGCAGCTCTCTTCTTGCGAAGTGTCATTAAATATAACGGTTATATGATATTATATCTTCCATGCCAAATCAACCAAGTGAATTACCGGCTCCGATTCCATTTCCCTTCCTACTTAGTAAAACAAGACTTGTACAATAAGTTACAGGTATACGCGCATCTTCATCTTCCGCGCTGTCAACCATCCCTATATTTAGCTGGTCTTTGCATGTTCTGGACTATAATCCAGGTCGCCGATGATAATTCCCAAAACCCAGCAGTTTACCAAGAAGAAGGCCAAAGATGACGTCAAAAGTCCAGGAACAAATGTACTCATGCCGAGAAATTCAAGTTTATAAGCTTGCTGTAACCATAGACCCTGAGTTGCAACCCAGAGACCAAGTGCTGATAGGCCAAGACGCGGGTTGCGGAAAAACGAAGAGTTGGGTAGATATAAGGGTAAAAAAACCATATACCAGAGGAAGTACTGTTTAGAGGGTATTAGCTATGCACACACACGCATATGTATATATATATATATATATATATCATTTGGTGGATCTACGACTGCACGATTAAATAATCCACTGGGGATATCCACAGCAGGAAGCGAACTTTTGGTATAGAACAACGAAAGATCTAAGAGATGAACCGTACCTGGCTTGTGCAGACCTTGTTAAATGTGACAAAGGCAAAAGTCTGCGCCAACATGGTAGTTGGTAGGTCCTTCTTCGCGCCAACCATAGGAATAAAAACCGTTGACAAGACCAGCTGTGGTAAAAACGCTACCGATTCAACCTTGACCAGGGTAGAGCTTGGGTGAGCCGAGGTAAGGTAAAGTATAATGTTGTATGGACTGAAGTTGTGGCGGTGATCGATGCGGGTGACGTGATGGAGGAAGGTATGTGTGAGAAATGGCATCCCATAGAGCGCGTACATGACAAGATTCAAGCTTATAAACGTGGTTAGGCTAACAATTGCAAGCCAGACGCGGTCGGGCGTGATAAAGGCTATAACCTGGCCAGGTTTCCCTGCCTGTGTCTGGAAATCCGGTTTCCTGCCCATTCGTTGTGCATCCATCCACCACATGATAGCCGGCGCATAGATGAAGGGATAAATCTTGAAGTGGACACCAAGACCCAGTAGTACGCCTGCAAACCCAACTCTCTTCTCCAATACGGCCCACAACAGGGCCATAACCAGCACTCCTAACAAACCCTCTGAGCTACCCCTTGTGCTGATAGTAGCCACCATGGGGTTTAGCAGCCAGATGCTTGCATACCTGCACGCGCGATCTTCAGACATGCGCAACGCCGGACCCTGCAGTATACGGATGATCAAGTATCCTGCTAGTAGATCGGCCGCTGCGAAAAGCACCTTTCCGAACGAGAACCAAAAGGTACCAGGCCATGTGGTGGGATACAAAAGCCAGGCTAATAAAGGCGTGTAACGATAGGTCTCGCGAGTATATGGCGACTTGGATGCAGACGCGAAGGTGAAGCGTGCGGCATCGGTGAACACCAGATAGTCTATGTCGGTGTACTTAAGTGGCGAGTTGGCATCTTGCCATAGGCCATATAGCGACATGGTGATACGGAGTATAGTGGCTGCTGCGAAGAGAGGAGGAGGGCGCGAGATGAGAGCGCCGACTTGCGAGGCCATCTTCTCAAGTAGGAGTTCTATAGATTACCTCTCTTCAAGTGCAAGATTCTCCCCCCCTGGTATGTCAGTCTATTTGAACGTAGATCAACTGTGATCCGGAAGTTGGGTAAGTGTCCAGCACTTATAAATGCAAACGAGTCGTTCAACTCTCGCTCTCGGTGATTGTTCCCTAATACAAGCGCTAATCATTCATCAGGCCTAAACATGACATGCACCATAGAAGGAAATTGTGAAGGTTGAGGGTCGAAAGGGGGTACTTAATAGCTTCCAGTTGTAAGTAAGAGTCGGCATATCTTCGGTAAAAAAAACAATAAGGGCACGAGATGTGGTCGGCTGCCCACCTTGCTTTTATGTAGCTTAGTACGGTTAACCCTTGCAAAAGTTTTGTCCATAAGGCTAATAGCACGTGCGCACGACAGTTGTCACGCTAAATATTAGATTTATTTACCTTATAATATTATATTATTTATTAATAAAATTTAAATTTAAATTTAATTTTATTATTATTAAAAATAAATATAATTATTATTACCCGTATTTTTAATATTATAAATACTTTTTTAAATACTTAATTATTTTTTAAATTATTTATTATTTATTAATTAAAAAATATTTATTTTTAATAAGTTTTTATTTTTTTATTTATTATTATTAAACATTAAAAATTAAAATTAAATTTATATAATATAAATTATAAGTTAATAATTTATATAAATATTTAAAATAATATATTATTTAATTAATTTATAATATATTATAATAAAAAAAAATTAAATTAAACTTTATATTTCATGTTTTTTAAAAAAATTAATTTTTTAATATTAAATGCATTATAAAATTATATAATGTTTTTTAATACATTACGTAATTATATTAATAGCCGTTAATAATATAAATTTATAATATTATTATATAAAAAATTAATTTTTTTAAAAAAATATTATTATTAAATATATTATTAAACTAAATATATAAATATTTTTTATTTAAATTTTATATATTAAAATTAATTAAATTATAAGTTTTATTAAATAATAGTGGGTATATTGTTTTTTTTTCCAGTATTAACAATAAAGCACTTTATTAAAAATAAAGTGCTTACATGTTAATGTTACACAACTATTAGTAATAATTTTATAGACTTTATAAATGAAATTATAATACCCCTTTACTTTCCTAATAAATTAATAGGCTTTTATTAGTACTTAATAATAAATAATTTCTACCATTTATATTTTATTTTAAAACTTAAGGTTATTAAAGTTTATGCTTGCGTTATAAAAAATAACTTTAAAAAAGTTAAAGTAAATATTAATTTAATATTCTTTTAGCATTTTTTATATTTTTTTAATAAAAATACGTCTTATAAATTATGTTATTTAAAAACTTATAACCGTATTAATCACGTATAAAACTAATTTTTTATTTAAATATATAATATTAATAGTTATTTTATAATTAAATTTTATAATTAAATCTTTTAAAGTAAATTTAAATTATTAAAAAGTTTTACCTTTAATTTAATAATTTTATTAATAACTTATTATTAAATTAAATATTATTTATTTTAAATTATTTGTTCGGATATTTTTAATAAATATTAAATATTAACCCTTTTTAATTATAAATATACGAGCAGCTTTTATATCTAATATAATCCCTTAAAAATATTCTTTATATATTAATTTAAAATAAAACTAATATTAAATTTAATATTATTTAAGTAAGGAAAAATGGTAATTTAATAATAAAATATTTAATTAAATAAATAAATAGCGGTAATATATAAGTTATTATTTTTATTAAAATTTAATATTAAATTAATTACTTTACTTTTTTTATATTCGAATTTTAAATCCAAATCCTTAAATCCTTTATAATTTATTAAAAATATTATATAATTTTTTAAAAGAACTTTATTTAATCTTCCATTTTTTTTAAACTTTTTTTTTAATTATTTAATAAATTAATTATTATATATTTAATATTAGCGCTTTTAAATTTTAATAAATTATTTTATATTATATTTATTACCTTTATTATTATAATAATACTTTTAATTAATATAATAAATATTATTATTATTATTATTATTATTATTATTATTATTATTATTTATTATAAATTTTATTATTTTTTTTATTATTTTATAAGTTTTAATAAATGTATAAAATTTACTTATTAAATTTTTAAACTGTATTAATAGTTTAAAAAAATTATATTATAATTATAATATAATTTAATAAGTTTAATATATCATCGTAATAAATTATTACTCCTTTTTAAAATCCGGACTTAATATTTTTTAGTATAATAAAAGTTTATTAAAGAAAATTTAAAATACTTTTTATTTTAATATTAAAAAAAGTAATAAAAGTTTAATTATAATAATATTAAACTTTATTTTATTTAATATTAAAATATTATTTTATAATTAAATATATGTTTATAAAATATTAAATTAACGTATATTATAAAGAAAATAAATAATTGCTTTTTTTATAAATATAATAAAAAATATTATATAAAATTAAATTTATTATATTTTAATTATATAATAAATATTTAAAAAAACGGAATTTATTTTTAAATATATTATATAATTTTCTTATATAATTGTTCTTATTATTTTAAGCTTTTTTAAAATAGCTAATAATAATTAATAAATATATTTTATTAAAAATTTATATTAAAAAAAATTATAATAATTATTATTTTATTAATTATTTATTTATATAAATAATAAAACCATTTAAAAAGAAAAAGCAAAGTTTTTAATAAGCTAACTTTTTTTTAATATTTTATAAAACCGCCGGTATTATATATAAACCACTTAATAACAGTTTAAAAGGTTTAAGGATATTTCCCGGGACCAGCGGGTTAAGCTGTGCTTTTTATATTAAGTCATTTTTATATATAAAATTATATCTTTAATTATACCCTTATTAAACTATATACATTAAATTATTAAAATAAATATTATTAAGCGTAATTTAAAAAAGTATAATAATTTTTTAAAAAAGGAAAGGGAGGGGAAAAAAGGTAATTAATATTTAAAAATTTAATTAATTATTTTATTAAAAGGGAAAAAAAAGTATAAAAAGGGCTAAGCATTTAATAAAAAAGGTAAATCACCAGTTTTTATAATTAAACAATTAGCAAAATATAAAATATTAATAATAAGTTATTAAAGGTAAAAAAAGGTTACGTTATTACTTATAAAGTTAATAATATATATTACAAATAAAATAAAAACTATTTAATTAAAGTAATAAATTATATTAAATATTATTTTATATATATTAACGTTTAAAAGTTATAAACCATTAATTACTATTATAACGTAATATAAATGTGTGTAAATACTTATATATTTAAATAAATAAAACTTTATTTAATATTATATATTAATATTTTCCACTTTAACGTATTAAATTATTTTCATTTAATTATTTTTAATTTGTCCGAATTTCACATTAATAATTTGCGTAATAATATAAAGTTAATAAATATTTCCGCGTAATTAATATTATATTGCTTTATATAAATGCTTTATTATATTAACGTAATTTAAAACATTAATTATAATAATTTTAATATATTTAAAAAGTTTATTATTATAAATTTTCGAAATTAGTTTTAATATTTATTTATTATTTCCTTAAATATTTAAACATATAATACGTTTATATTAATAATTTTTAAATTTACTAATATTAATAATGTTTAAATTACTTTTTACTTAAAAATAATCGTTTAAAAATTAATTAATTTTTATTTTATAATTATATAATTAAAATACTAAATAAAAATTATTCGATTAAAAATATATTTTATTAAAATTTACAATTTATTTATATTTTTTATTTTAATTAAGTGTTACGAATTAACATTTATTAAAAATATATTAGTTTAAGTAATAAGAACGGGGTCTTAAATAACAACGGGTAAACCTCGGTTATAACCATTAATCTCATATGATTTAATTAATTTAATTAATTTGACCAAATTAACTAAATCACTTAAATTAATTACATTATAATACCTTTAAAAGGAATAAAAAAGATAATTAAAATTATAAAAATTAATATATATTTAATTATTTATTTATATTTCTTTAATTATTAATTTAAATCTTATATTTAATTTATATAAAAAGAAAGATTTTAAGCTTTTTTAACAAACATTTGCAATATTATATTAATATTTAACCTATATTATTATTATTTATTTAAAATTAAAATCTTAATTATTATATTTTAATAGATTTAAATATAAATTCGTTATATTTTAATAGCTTTTTAATTAATATTATTACTGGTTAAATATGGTATAAGTACCAGTTTTAATAATAATATTCCTTTATTTATACAAACCACTTATAACTTATTTATCTTAAAATATTCCTTAAATAAATCCTTTAAAACCTAACTTTTAATAAAAATTAATTAAATAAAAAGTCGTTACAAACTTAATATACCATCTTTTAATTATATCTTAAGATTAATTAATAATATAGTTCTAACAGAAATTAAGTCCTAAGTAAGATTATTTAGGTTTAAGAAAAAGGTAAAAGAAATTACTAAAATTATTAATAAAAGGAAAAAAAAAAGCAATTAAAAATAAAAATAAAAATAAGGGAAATAATAAGAATAATTATAAAAATAATTTAAAAAATTTAAAGGTAAATATAAAGATAATATATAATATATATAAAGAACTTAAAAATAAATTAACTAACTTATATAAAGAATTAATTAAAAGTAAATAAGTAAAAGAAAATAATAATAATAAGCTTAACCCATATTTTATATAACAAAATTTAACAGTCCCTTTACTATCCGATAAAAGATTTAAATCCTTTCCGCTATTTAAGTACAATAGCATTATTAATATTAAGGATTAGCTTAACGCAGCTAAACTTTACTTAACCTTCTTTTAAATTAACTTTATTAAAAATAAATATAAGGTTTTAACAATTTATTAACACCTTAAAAAAGATACTTTTATATAGTTTTAACTTATTTTAAATAATTATTTAAATAAAACCTAAAAAGAGATAAAAAAATTTAAATATATTTTTAATAAATACGTAAATTTTAAAAATAAAATATAATTAATATTTAAAAACCTACTTAAAAAAGAAAATACTTATAAGGTTATTTAAAACCTTAAATAAATTAAAAAAACCTTAAAATACGCCATTAAATTTAAGCGTTTAGTAATAGTAACTTGGCTCCTTAAAAATGCTTAATTTAATTATTTTTATAAAAGATTAATAATATAAATAAAAAATAAAATCTTAAAAAAAAA